TGGACGTGCTCCGTGCCTGGACTCGCGCAGAGCGCTTCTCGCGCGCCCCCGGCGACGATGGCAACAACGGTGCCTGCCTTGCGCAGCTGGCACGCAATTGCTTCCCTCGAGGAGTCCACGATCCCCAATCCAGCTCCAAGCTCTATCAGAAACGGCCTCTTGAAATCCCACCAGCCCTCTGGGCGTAGGCGGTCTAGGGAAGTTCCCCTTCCAACCCCCTTTCTTCCCCTTCGGGGAGGGAGCTACCACTGATCCTTATAAATATACACCCTCTCCCCTAAGCAACTGGGAGCCAACCAGGCACCTTGCTGAAACAATGACCACCCGCCCCCCAAACCATCCCTGTCAAAAAACAATACAAACCGCACTCTGCCTCCACATTTGGAGCATGCGCGGCCAACCCAATGCGCCCCCCCCCATCCCTGTCAAAACCCAATGCAAAGTACACGTTGGGGTAAAGTCTTGAGTCATGCTCGTGAGGCCCGCGAGCACTTCGCATTGTGTTTGACAAGAACGGCGGGGGGTGTCAGCATATTCCCTGTGCAGGGCTACCATCCCTGACAACAAAATCGTGGATAAATCTGGATCATGCGCGGCCATCCCGCGATCACTGTCAAATGGTTTTTGATAGGGACGGCGGGGGTGGTGGCGCGTGGCCTGCTGTGCGCAGGCCCAGCTCGCACAATGATGGGCATCGGCTTTCGACAAGGATGACGGGGGCCGACATGCTTCCCGATGTGTGCTGTCACGTGCGCAGGCGCACCTGGCGCACTCTGCACGTGCCCCGCACGCGGCGCACCTGGCACGGCTGGAGTGTGCGGCACACCTGGCGCACCCAGAGCACTTGGCGCATCTGGCGCACCAGGCGTGCCTGGCATGCTCGGACCCCAGGGGTGCCTGGCGCGCGGCGCCCCTGGCACGCGTGGCGCCCCTGGCACGCGTGGCGCACCTCGCCCAAACGTCGCGCACATGGGGTCGGCTTGAGCTCCCAGTAGCTGCCCATCCAAATACGACCGCTGAACATGATCAGGCTCGGGTGTTACTTATGGGTAGGGAGGGCGGGTGTAAGTGAGTTAGACTGTTTGCGGGCGGGCGGGTGTCTTGATCACTGTTCTCTATTAATAAACACCCCTTCCCCCAGGCGACTGGTAGCCAACCAGGAACCATGAAGTCCCCCCCAACCATCTTTACCAAAAAACAATACAAAACACACTCTGCCTCCAAAATCTGAGCATGCGCAGCCACCCCGATGCGGCCTTCCCCCACCATCCCTGTCAACAAACACAAGAATAGTACACTTGGCGGCGGCGGCGGCGGCGGCTGCGGCGGCTGCGGCGGCGGCGGCGGCGGTGGCGGCGGCGGCGGGGGCGGCGGCGGCGCGGCGGCGGCTGCGTCGGCGGCGGCGGCGGCGGCGGCGGCGGCGGCGGTGGCGGTGGCGGCGCGGCTGCGGCGGCAGCGGCTGCGGCGGCGGCGATTTGGCAGCGGCGACGGCAGCGGCGGCGTGAGGCGCGGCTGCGGCGGCGGCGACGGCGGCGGCGGCGGCGCAGCGGCGGCAGCGGCGGGCAGCGGCGGCGGCGGCGGCGGCGGCGGCGGCGGCGGCGGCGGATTGGCCCCCAGTAGCTGCCCATCCAAAGACGACGGCTGAATATGCCGAGGCTCGGGCCAGACTAGGGTGCTACGTATGTGTTGGGAGGGCGGGTGGGAGTGAGCGAGACGGCTTGCGGGCGGGGAGGGAGACTTGACTCCTCCCCCTACCCCTCCCCTGGACCTGGACGGGGGGGGGGGCGCGACGCGTTGGAGCGTTCAAAACGGCCTCGGCGAGGAAGCCAACATCAATGGATTGACTAAGGTTTTGGCACCATGTTGGGGCTCCCGAGGGGGGAGGCTAATTGAAGCTCCCCCCTTCTTTCATCGATCTCCTGCAAGAGGGCCCCAAGAGCGCCCCTAAAGCTTCCAAGAGCGCCCCAAGAGGGCCCCAAGAGGCACCACGGAGGCCCCAAGAGGCACCCACGAGGCCTCCAAGAGGCCCCAAAGAGGCCTCCAAAAGGCTGCAAGAGGATCCCCGAGGCACCCAAGATGCCCCTAGACGCTCCAAGAGGCCCCCCCGAGGCACCCAAGACGCCCAAGAGCCCCCCAGGACCGCCAAGAGACCCCCAAGACGTCCCAAGAGGCCACCAAGAAGCACCCCAGAGATATCCCAAGAGGCTCCGAGAGGCATCCAAGAGACCTCTGGCCCTTTTGCTCGCCCTCCTCCTCCTCCTGCTCCTCCTTCCTCCTACTCCTTCTCTTCCTCCTCCTCCTCATCATCATCATCATCACCATCATCATATTTATAGGTCTTCTCCCGGATCCCCGCTCCCTCATCCATCCATCCATCCAGCCTCCTTCTTCTCATCCTCCTCCCTCCTTCGCATGGTTCGGCCGTCCACCTCTTTGCTCCCGCACTTCCCTGATCACCTCAACTCCCCTGGACATTGTTTCTGGATGGGCTGGTGGGGATACGCGAAACGTCTAGAATGGACTGGCAGCGTGCACAGTCGGAACTCTAGACCTGGACAGTGTTCGCGCGACTTTGCTCCGTCGGTTGCAAAAGCGATGAAAGCGCCAACAGAAACTACTCCGTGTGGATGGTACCCTACAATGTAGCGGCCACCGGGTCCCAGCGCAGACGACAAATGAACTCGTAACCTAAAGTAACTTGACAAATGGCGCCAACACCTTCAGCTGCGTACCGTACCCAATGACTACGCCGGGCACCGCTTCTGCCGATGTCCGAATAGTCCACCAAAGCAAGCACGCACACAATATACTGACGGCATAACGCAAAGGCCGATGTATATCATCTACCACATGATGGGACCAAACGGCAAGATGAAAAGAGCGAAACCGGCAGCAGCAAGATGCTCCGCCGACAATGGCCGCAAGGATTCCATCTTGCAAAGAGCGCTCAAAGATGACAGTGCCAACCGGCACCAGGCTGCCACTCACTGCAGGCCGTGCCTGGATCCCAAATGGCTTGAGCCGCTTGGCAGCGGGCATGGCGCTGCGACCTGTGCAGCCCTCCTCCTCTTCCTCCTTACCCCAGCCCCTCTGGCCCGAGGGGATCCAAGTGTGGGGCAGCAAGAGGCCCCCAGAGCGCCACCGCCGCGCTCTCGACACTCCCCCGGAGTGGTGCGCTCGGGCAGCCCCGACTGATGCAGAATTTGCGGGTCTGCTCTTTACAATGTCCTCTCGTTGCGGCGGGAGGGAAGGTGGAATGAGATTGCCAGGCAGTTGTTTCTTCTTCTTTTTTTCCCCCTGGGCCTCTGGGGGGCTCCAGGGGGCTTCTTCGGGGCGCCGGCGAAAAACTACCGGAAGACGGCGAGCGCCTAAGACGGCCGGCGGCGAGAAAACTACTACTGGACCATGCAGGGAAAACTACTACTGGACCATGCAGGGACCATGGGGTAGCAGCGGCGATAATGACGAACAGAGCCTTGATGAAAGGAGCGAGGTCATCGCCAGGATGGCAATGACGACATGGCCGTCTTCACGAACCAGGCCGTGGTGGGCCCAGACTCGCGAGCGGCGAGCACACCCGTGTCCACGCCCTCGCGGTGGGCGTTGCGCACCCGTGGCCTCGGGGGCTGCGCGAGGCCACGAGCCCAGAACTTGCCCCACTGAGACGACCCGCAGACGCCATATGTGAAGGGGCCCTGGGACACGCAAATCAATACACACACAGAATAGGATTCCCTATACTTTTTTTCGTATCTTCTGGGTTTCTGTCGTCCCCCCCACTTCCCATATTTTCCCATGTGTTCCTGGGGATCGACGATGAATTGTGTCTGTGTGTTTTTCCCCCTCCTGAGCCACATGTCCCCCGAAGGGCTCCCGGATGCCCGGCCCCCCCCCCCCCCCGCTGGATGGCCTCCCTGCAGGCCCCGGAGGCCCTCCTGGAGGCCCCCTCCCGGCGTCTTCGCCCGCCCGGGCCATCCAGAGGCCGCCCCGAGGAGGTCATGGAAGAGCTCTGGGGAGCCCCTGGGGGGGCGCGCACCGCCGCTCAGTGCCCCTGCTCAGCCCCCCGGGGCGGGGCTCGCGGTGGATATGCACCCATAGCTTTAAGTGCGTCTGCAAGCGCAGGTCGCTCGTAACCATGGGGCCCTCCGTCGGCCAGAACACCCCAAGCCGCAAGATCACTCGAGGGTCAACTCCCCCAGGATGCACGACTCGAAGATCGCTCGTAACCAACGGGGCTTCTCAATGACCTCACGGGGCCCAGAGGGGCGCACGAGACAGATCGACCAGTGGGAGTGCCGCACGGCGAATTGAGTAGTGATGGTCGGCGAGCTCCTCCTCCTCAGGGGCCAAATGGCTCAACTAAGCAGCTGCACGAGTGGCGTTGTGCAAATGAAATACCCGAATTAACCACTAGCCCGACTCTCTGGGGGGTGGGATCTCCATTGAGCCCCAGCCTCTCAGACAAACTCACTGGTGCAGGGTCAAGCGCATGCACGGGCCTCCACAGCACAGGGCGACGCACATAATGCTGCACCGTGTCTTTTACATTCGAGGAGATCACCTGACTATACATCTATGCTTCACACTGCCATGCAACCTATCGGATGTGTAGATATGTGTGTATATCTATATATCTACATACTAGAACCAAGACGATGTTCTAGCACGATGTGGCAAAGGTCTAGGGTTTGCAGCATCGGAAAGCATAAAGACTTCGATCAATCATGGTCATTCCGCAGATGAATACCCTCCCTGTCCCCACGGATGCTACGCGATGAACCCCAATCGCCTTTACCCTTGCATTCTCGTCTCAGCAAGCCTTCTCATTTCCTCCCCTTTTCCGCTCCCCTATGGCAGACCAGTGGAAATACATCCCACGTGGCAGAAGAGGTGTTGCGGGTGCTGTGAATGTTCCACTCGGCATGCAACGCGACAAATGAGATTCGTTGTCGACGCGGTGGACGTGCTCCACTCGGAGCGTAACATCAATCGATTGATGGTTTCTTCCTCGCCTGCGATACGCTGGGGACGGCCACAAAGTCAAGGAGCGCAATTTCAGAGAGCTCCAGAAGTGTGACTCAGCCCTGCAATGGCAAAGTCATGCTCATCCCTGCTGGAAGATGCTGTGGGTCTGCCCAGCAAACGGGCCCCACAAGCATGGAGGCCGCTCACGCTGGAGTGCCAGCGGGTACAGACTTGGCCTCCGTGGCAGCAGGAGTGCGCGCACAAAATTCGCCGGCCCAACGGGCCAGAGGCGTGCTAAGATCTCCGGTAACTGGTTAACAATTCTCTAGTTCGCGCGCGCGGGGCGGCCCCTGGGGGTCCCCGGACGAAAAGTACCCCGGGCGATCCCCGACCGATCCCCGGGAGACTCCCCCAGAGCGCTCCAGGAGCGCTCCATGAGCGCACCAACAGGGCTCCGAGACGTCCCCGAGAGCCCCAAGAAAGGCCAAGAGGCCCCCAAGAGGCCCCCAAGATGGTACACGAGGGGTCCGACATGCCACAAGATCGCTCCAAGACGCCCAAGATAGCCCCCAGACGCCCCAAGAGGCCTCCAAGAGCACTCCCAAGAGGGCCCCCGGAGGCAAAATTCATTGTTTTTCCTTAGGTTTTTGAGAGATTTTGGAGCTTCCACCTTTTCGGCTTCCCGACGCCCCAAGACGGCCCAAGAGGCCCCCAAGATCGCCCCAAGAGGGCCCAAGAGGCCCCCAAGAGGGCCCCAAGATGGCCCAAGAGGGCTCGAAGACGGCCCAAGAAGCCTCCAAGACGGTCCAAGAGGGCCCCAAGAACGCCCCCAAAGGGGCCCCAGAGAGGGAACACGAAACAACATTTCGAGCCCTCGGCCCTAAGAAGCCCCTACGAGGCCCCTACGAGGCCCCTAAGAGGCCCCAAGAGGCCCCCACGAGGCCCTCAGGAGGCCCCCAAGAGTCCCCCAAGCGGCCCCAGGAGGCCCCCCAAATGCCCCCCCGAGCGCCCCAGGAGTCCCCCAAGCGGCCCCAGGAACCCCCAAAGCGCCGCATTGACACCAGGCCCTCGGGCAAACGGCAGACATGAGACTGTATGGGCCGGCGGAATGAGCGAAGCGATTAAATAATTGCTCCTCCACCTGTGCCTTTGAAACTGTGGCGTCTTGTCAGCACTCGAAAATCCGCCGGCCCCCTCGTGGGGCCACCAGGCTGTAGGACGAGGGTTTGCTGTTCCCTGCGCCAGTTCCAGCTTCCAGCTTCCAATGCTACTGTAAAACATTGTTTTATGCTGCTTACTGTTCCTTCTTGTAGACCGCGCCAAAGGGGGGGGAGCTGGAAAGCGTCCGGATTACCACGCCCGAGTCGCATGCTCTGAATTCCTGGGGGGGGCGTGGGACACGTACAAGTACGCGAAATTCGCGCCACCGAAGACATAAACCCCTGCACATTATACCAGATTCGCGTCCCCGAGGCCATAAACCCTCGCGAATTACGCAACACTCGCGTCCCCCAAGCTATAAACCTTCGCAGAATACGCTACATTCGTGTCCCCGAAGCCATAAACCGTAGTAGAGTACATAATACTTGCGTCCCCGAGGCCATAAACGCCTGCAAATCATGCAATATTCGCGTCCCCGAAGCCATAAGCCCCTGTAAATTACACTGTGCTCGCGTCTCCGAAGCCATAAACCTTCTTACATTACACAATATTAGCGTTCCCGACGCAATCAATCATTAACACATATACAATCCTCGCGTCCCCGAAGCCATAAACCCTTGAACAGTCTGGTCTATTCGCGTATCCGAAGCGCTAAACCCTCGTGTATTACACCATTTTCTCGCCTCCCAAACCATACACCTGCGTAAATGACGCAGTGATCGCGACCCCGAAACCATAAACCTTTGTAGATTACTCAATAATCGCGTGTCCGAAGCCATACACCTTCGGAAAGTATGCAATATTCGCATATCCGAAGCCATAAACCTGTGTAACTTACACTACATTTGCGCCGAGGCCATAAACCCTATTGAATTAAGCACTAGTCGCGTATCCAAGCCATAAACCCTTGTAAATTATTATGTATTCGCGTCTTCGAAGCCATCAACCCTTGAAAAATATATTGGAATTGCGCTATGATCGCGTCCCCGAAGCCATTCACCAAATTACGCTGCAATCTCGGCAAAGAAACAATGAACCCTCGAAATATGCGGAAGATTCGCGTCTCCGAAACCATAAACTTGGTGAATTATACCCTCATTCGTGTCCCCGAGGCCATGAACCCTTGTAGGTTATGTTAAGATTACGCTATCGGTGGGGTCAGGATCGAAAAAACAATTCGATGTGCCATATTTCTGAAATTCGGTGGCACCTCTCACGCAGATCAGCAAGGTCAGGGTCGAACAACCCATGGGTTCTGCCACATGTCTGAAATTTTGCGGGAAACATGTGCACAGCATACGGGGGCAGGTTCAAAATGCAACACCGAGTTCAACAATATCATCATAATCTCAATTTCTCTTGCCGATGCTGCTTCACGGCGGCGCCGAGACCTCATGATTTAGCCCTTGCATAGCCCATTATCCCAGAGAAGGGGTCGGCGGAAGGGGGCGAAGCCCTTACGGATACAAGCGCAACTGATGTCACGGAGGCCAGATGACGTCCGCTTGTTTCCCCTATCAGCCAGAGCCGTAAGTTTACGGTAGATGACGAACCAATTGAACCACATTAAACCTTACTTGAACTAAGTTTTGAACCTGCATGCATATAGATCCGGAATGCTTTTCAAACCTGCATGCATGTAGATTCGGAATGCGGTATTCTCGCCATCTTTATCCGCATGGTGGTGATGATGATCACGGCGATGACAGTGACGATGGTGACGATGGTAATGGTGATGGTGATAGTGATGGTGACGGTGATTGTGATGGTGATGACGGTGATGATCACAGTAATGACGGTGATGATGATGATCAGGATGATGTGACGGTAATGACGGTAATGTGGTGATTGTGATGATGATGATGATGATGATGATGATGATGATGATGATGATGATGATGATGATGATGGTAATGACGGTGATGATCAGGAAGGTGATGATGGTGGTCATGATGATGATGGTGATTTCCAGTGACGCACGCGACGAAGTCGGCATGCAGGTCCGTATCGTCGTCGTCCTCCTCCTCATTTTCCTCATCATCCTCTCCTCTCCCCAGATTCCCTATGATGGTGATGATGGTGTTGGTGGTGGTGATGATGACGGTGATGATGATGATGATAATGCTGATGCTGATGCTGATGCTGATGCTGATGCTGATGCTGATGCTGATGATGATGATGATGATGATGATGATGATGATGATGATGATGATGATGATGATGAATGTTATGAGGAGGAGGATGGTGACAAATGGCCCCAGAGCGCTCCAAGGCGGCCGCAGATGGCTTCAAGATGGCCCAAGATGGCCTCAAGACGGCCCAAGATGGCCTTAGGACTGCCCAAGAGGCTTCCAAGACGGCCCAATAATGCTCCAAGGAAGCTTCCAGCAAGGCCCGAAGAGGCACAAATCATTGATTGCCCTCTTGGTGTTTAAAAGATTTCGGCAATTTCGCCTTTTCGACCCTCCGTCGGCTCAAGACGGCCCAAGACGCCTCCAAGATGGCCCTACGACGGCCAAGGGGGCCTCAAGAGGCCTCGAAGACGGGACAGCCCAAGAAGGTCTGGAGAGCCCAGGACGGACCCAAGGGGCCCCAAACTTGCCCCAAAGGGCCTCCGGGTGGACACAAGACTGCCTAGGACCCCTGGACGGCCCAAGACGGCCCAACCACAGCCTTCAAATACCCCCCAGACGGTCACGAAGGGCCCATGAGAGCCCTAAGACGGCCCGAGACGGCCTCAAGACGGCCCAAGAGGGCCCCAATGGACCCCAAAACTACCCCACAGGAGCTCAAGAAAGAAAACCACAGACGGACAAAATGAGGTCCATGTGGCTCCTCCGGAATTGGAGACGACAGGTGTCACATGTGGCGGATGTTCTCTTCGTCATCGTCGTCGGCTTCCTCCTCCTCCTCCTCCTCCTCCTCCTCCTCCTCCTCCCCCTCCTCCTCCTCCTCCTCCTCATCATCATCATCATCATCACTATCATTATCGTCATCAGCATCAGCATCAGCATCAGCATCATCATCATCATCATCATCATCATCATCATCATCATCATCATCATCATCATCATCACCACCTTCCTCGTCCTCATCACCCTCATTTCAGATGTCTGGACTGTCCGGTTTCGGATCGGTTCGGCGATCGGTGTTCTGGCTTCGGTCTCTGGCTTCTGTGCTCGGGCTCGGGGTCGGGTTTGGGATGGCTTCGGGCTGGGAGGTGCGGCCTTCGGGTCTGGGTGTTCGGGTTCCTTCTTGCTGGCGACGTTCGGATGTGATATTTCGGGCTCCTGGCCCTGTCCAAATTCTCCGTGTGGTCAAAACTCCCCAGGGCGCTTCAGGATCCCCATTTCCTTCAGGACCCTCCCAGAATCGGGGATGGACAGACCCCCCTTTAGTAAAACGTGGTTTAGTGAAAACGACATGAGGCCCAAACCTGGCGGGCGCAAGCCTGGAAAATAACGGCCACGGCGCCCTCTCGAGAACCAAAAACGGACAATTCACTAATCGACGTGTCACTGTTGGGGGTTCTGTCCACCCCCGACAGAATTCTTTATAGCACAGATGAAGCCAACACCGCAACAAACTCACGGCAAACCCGCGGGAAACCCATTGGAAATGCCGCGCCCGACACGAGGCTCCAGCACGGACTGGCTCATGATCTAGTGTAGGCCGATTCAAGGTCAAACAGGTGGCCGGTTCAGGATACAGAACGGACCGATTCACGATCTAGCATGAACCGATTCAGGGTCTAGGGCGTACCGAAACACGATATCCCCGCGCTGACCCGGACTGCGCAGCCAACAAATGAATCGCCAAAACGAAAATCGACAGAATCAGCGGTGGGCGCGCGCGCCCCCCCAAAAAAAACAAAGCTACAAACAAAAATGTCCGCCCTGGAAGCCCATCATTGTGGGCGCAACTCCCGCGTTGAACTCCCTTCTCCGTCTGCCCAGTCTACGACCAACAGGAAAACCAACAGACCCCCTCGAGCAAAAAGTGAAACGCATCGTTTTTGCTACTGTGTCCGCTTGTGTTTTCGCCTCTGCGTGCACCCCCGGCCGCGGGTAGACGGCTGCCATTCTCGCCGCGTTTCGCCCCCGCCCGCGGTCACCTTTGCAAACGCACCATGGCAGCTCCCGTTGTCGCGTCCTTTTTTGTTTTCGCCCACGCAATCTATGTTGGGTAGGGAAAAAGAACTCCCGCTCCTAAATGCACGCCGGTCCGTTTTCGCGTCCGCCCGCGCAGTCGCCAGCGGTTGGGGGGAACGGAAAGTCCAAAGAAAAAACTATAGCCCCTGCGCCCCAACGCCCCATTGCGGCGGTTGATTCCGAGTCGTTTTCACTTCCGCCGGGCGGAGCATTTTCAAAACCACAAGGAGTAGCCCCCCGTCGGCGTCCGTTTTCGCCCCCGCCCGCGCAGTCTACGGCGGGAGGGCGGAACAGAAACAAACCTTATACTCCTGCTTCCAAAAGCGCACCATTGCGGCTGCCGTTCCCGCTGCCGTTTCCGATTCCGCCCGCGCAATATGCGATGGCTGGGAGCAGAAGAAACATCCAAAAGAAAACATAGCTTCCTGTTTCCATACTTACCATTACAGCTACAGTTCCCGCTCCCTTTTTCGATTCCGCCCACGCAGTTTGCGGCGGCTGGGAGGAGTGGAATATACACAACCAAAAAACTGCTTCCGAACGTACCATTGCGACTACCGTTCTCGCTCCCGCGTTCGGTTCCGCCCGCGCAATCTACGGTGGCTGCGAGGAAAAAGACAAATATATTCCTGTTTCCGAACGCACCATGGCGGCTACCGTTCCCGCTCCCGCGTTCGATGTTGCCCGCGCGATCTACGGTGGCTGCGAAGAAAATTCTAAAACATCACACACCAAGTATAGTTTCCTGCTTCCAACCGCACCATGGCGGCTACCGTTCCCGCTCCGGTGTTCGATTCCGCCCGCGCCACCTACGGAGGCTGGGAGGAGAAGAAGATGTTTGAAAAGACGGCCATCATTTCCTGCTTCCGAACGCGTCATTGCAGCTACCGCTCCTGCTCCCGTGTTCGACTCCGTCCACGAATGTCTACGGCTGCTGGGAGGACAGGAACAATTCAAACACCGACTATACTTTCCTGCTTCCAAACGCACCATTGCGGCTGCCGTGCGCGCTTCCGTCTTCGATTCCGCCCGCGCAATTAACGGTGGCTGGGGGAGACGAATTTTCTTAAGAACCATAGCTTCATGTTTGTCAACGCGCCTCCCAGCGTTCCGCCCAGGGCGCCCCCCAGCGCTCCCCCCCAGGGCGCCCGCCAGGGCGCTTCCCAGCGCCCCCTCACAGTGCGCTGCCCAGCGCCCCCTCCCAGCGCCCCCCCACAGCGCTCTCCCCAGCTCTCCCCCCAAGGCGCCCGCCAGGGCGCTTCCCAGAGCGTTCCCCAGCGCACCTCCCAGGGCGCTTCCCAGGGCTCTTCCCAGGGCGCTTCCCAGTGCGCTTCCCCCAGCGCGCTTCCCAAAGGGCGCTTCCCAGGGCGCCCCCTGGGGAGAATCCCAGGGCGCACCCCAGGGCGCACCCCAGGGCGCTCTCCAGAGCGCATCCTAGGGTGCCACCCAAGGCATTCCCCAGGGCGCTTCCCAGGGCGTTTCCCAGGGCATTTCCCAGGGTGCCTCCCAAGGCGTTCTCCTGGCGCGTTTCAGGGCGTATCCCAGGGCTCACAGCGGCCTTCCCAGGGCGAAGCAAAGCGAGAGGACCAGATCTCGAGTCTACTTGGTATTGAAAAACAATCATGCGGATCAAATCCCGATCTAGTCCAAACGGAATCGTGAATCAGTCCCAACGGGTTTGCCCCGTTCGAGCCAGATGGCGATCCAGCCCGAAACGAATCGAGCATCAGGCAGTCGTGACCAGGTCATATCATCTGGGGGGTGGGGGAGGGCGGGCGGGCCCTCAACAAAACACTGCCGAGCCCGACTAAGGGGCCATCGGGTTGCGTTTGCCCAGGTTCGGCCCAGGATTTGGCCAGTTCAAACGCGACTTGGCGGGATTGGGCGGGATGGTGCCAGACTGGGCCGGCCTTCGACCACGAAGATACCAGCGCCGGAACTGAACTTCGCCTCCCAGGAGTTGCATCCTAACGTTAGGTCGGGCATGCCCTCCTACTGGCGGATGTTGGGCGAAAAATAAGGACATGGCCCCAGACATATTCAAACATAGCCACAGCTGGTCTAAACATCGCCCCCCCTTATATTTTTTCACTATTTTGAAGATGTTTCCTCTAGCGGGACAGGCCCGATTCAATCCAGACGCCCTCCCTCGGGGCCCCTCTCTCGCCTCACAGCCGCCCGTGGCTGTAGAAAAAGTCGAGGCAATCACAGGCCACCTCGAAAGCGCCGCCGGACCGCGCAGCTCGCGAAGGCGAGACGCGGCCCGGAGGGTCGTTGCGCGAAGGCGGGGCCGTCTCGGGGCAAAGGACACGTCGCTGGCGCCAAAAAAAGGCCCGGGGCCTCTCGACACGAGGGGGGAGGAGGAGGAGGAGGAGGAGGAGGAGGAGGAGGAGGAGGAGGAGGAGGAGGAGGAGGAGGAGGAGGAGGAGGAGGAGGAGGGGGGAGGAGGAGGAGGAGGAGGAGGAGGAGGAGGAGGAGGAGGAGGAGGAGGAGGAGGAGGAGGAGGAGGAGGAGGAGGAGGAGGAGGAGGAGAGGAGGAGGAGGAGGAGGGGAGGAGGAGGGGGAGGAGGTGGAGGAGGAGGAGGAGGAGGAGGAGAGAGGAGGAGGAGGAGGAGGAGGAGGAGGAGGAGGAGGAGGAGGAGTCGACGAGCCGAAATCTTTCACATCAGTAATTTTGGGTCTCGGAACCCACAGGGCGGTTTTTCATGTTTTCCATTCGACGTTCCATGAAGCCCGATGTCATTCCGAGGCCGCGCGTCGAACGTTTTCGATGGCGCGTCGCGTTATGCGATGTCACGTGCGTTGGGGTCGTCAAAGGCTTGCGTGCTTGTTGCGGATCGGTTGATGTGGGCTGGGGTTTCTCAGGATTGTACATTTGCTTTGCGCTGGGGCGGTTTCGACCCCCATCCCTGGCTGATCCACCCCGCGGGTAACGTCGCAGGAAGAGTTCGATCATTTCGTTCGTAGTACCAGCGATGCTGTCGCGGACATTGACCGCGCCACGGGGGGGGTCGTCCAGAAATTTCCTACCATATTGCAGTGTTGGTTCTTCGTTTTGAAGAGACACCGCCCCGCGTCATTCCTTCCGGCCCCCTCCCTCGTCCTCCCTCTTCGCGTATCTGCCCCTGCTCTCCGCGTGTTTCCGTCGTCATCGTCCATCGTCATCGTCGCCATCACCATCATCATCAGCATCATCAGCATTCTCGCCGTCTCCATCATCAATACCACCACCATCCTCATCAACATCATCAAAACACCCCCCTTGTTCCCCCGCGTCTCTGCTTCGCCACATCCCCCGCAAGTCTCGTGGCCTTGTGAGGTGCTCCACCGAAGGCCCCATCGGCAGGGTCCTTAGTGCGCCGCCCAGCCCATGTCGGCACGCCCCTCAGACGCTTCGTGTCCCCATGAGGGGCTCATCGGAGGTCCCGGCGGCAAGGTCCACATGCCGTCGCCCAGGCCACATTGATGACACCCTCAAACATTTCGTGCCCCTATAGGCAGCTCCACCAAAAAAAGTCCCAGCGGCAGGTTTCCCAGGCCGCCGCCCAGCATATTTCGGCATACGTTTCACACGCTTCGTGGCCCCACGGGGAGCTACACCGACGGCCCCACAGGCAGGGCCCACAGGCCGCCGCCCAGCCCATTCCGTCATACGCTCACAAGCTTCGTGGCCCCATTGGGGAGCACCCCCGATGGCCCAAGCGACAGGGTCCACATGCCGTCGCCCAGCCCATGTCGTCCACGAGTGGCGCCCAGCACGGCTCCAAGAGCGCCCCAAGAGGCGCCGAGTAAGTTGCACCCTCATGCAAATAGTTTTTGTCACTTGTGGGGGTCCTCTTGGGGCCCTCTTGGAGCATTCTTGGGGCCCTCTGGGAGCGTTCTTGGGGCCTTCCCGGGGCCCCAGTGGGCCCTCGGAGGGCCCCAAGAACGTTCCCCGAGGGCCCCAAGAGGGACCCCCCAAAGTGGTACAAAGAATTCGCGCGAACGTGCAATCTGTTGTAGGCCTTTCGGGGCCCTCTGGGAGCTCTCTTGGGGCCCCCATTGGTGGCGCCTTGGGGCCTTGGGATGGCTCCAAGAGGCTTCGGGATTGCCCCAGACCGCCACAAGACAGCTCCGAGACGGCCGTCGAGCACCACGGGTGAAAGCAAGTGAGGCTAGGGAACAGGGCCTCTGGTAAGCCGCCACTGCGCCCCCTGGACTACCCAGACAGCGAGGGGACCTGAAACGCCCTGGGGCTCCAGGGGCCCCAGATTAGTGAAGTGAAGGTTTTTGCCATGCAAGCACCCCGAAATTCTTCACTTCACTAAACCGGACCCAGGACGAACTCGTTGGTTGCTTGGCGTCGTCCTGGCGGCGTGGGCGATAATCGGCGGCCTGCAATGGCGCCAGGATTTGTTTCGGGCCAGCCTTGATCGCCCTCATCATTCTCATATTCGTCAGCGTCAGCACTCGTCGCCCCCATCCGCGCACACATGCGGCCCTGGTACGGCTCTCACGCGGCCCTGCGAAGGCCTTCACTGTGCTCCCCAAAGCTTTCTGAGGGGCCCCCCAGAGGCCCCAAGAGGGCACTGGAAATTGTCGCTTCCAACTCCGCCAGGCGGAGGTCAACAAGGGTCTCACTGGTGCACTTCCAGGAATCGTCGTTCGATCCTCTTGGGGCCCTCCTGGGGCCTTCTGGAGCCGTCTTGGAAGCTCCGAGCGGCTCCATGAAGGCGCCGGGCGATATCGCTTCCAATTCCGCCAGGTGGAGTTAGACCAGGGGCTCACTGAGGCCCCTTTTTGCGCCCTCCTCTGCCTTTGAAAAAGCCCCGATGGGGTTCTTCAGTGCCGTCTTAGGGCCCCTAAGAGGCCTCCAGTAGGGTATTGAAGTTATCGCTTCCAACTCCGCCACGCGGAGTTGAACCCAGGGCGGCTCTCTATGGCCCTTTCGGGGCCTTCTTAGAGCTTTTCTGAGGCCCTAAGTGGGCCCTGGGAGGTGTCATTTTCACGGGCGTTGAAAGTGACACCGCGGAGGGCCCTCTTGGGCCCTTCTTGGGGCCTCTCTTGGGTCCCTCTGGGAGCCCTCTTGGTGCCGCCCTGGGGCCTTCTCGGGGCCTTCTTGGAGCCTTTCTGGTGCTCTTTAAGTGGGCCCTGGGAGGTGTCACTTTCACGGGCGCTGAAAGTGACACATCGAAGGGCCCGCTTTCCCTCGTAGCGCTGCCCGTGGCCGGGGCATTGTGCAGCGCATCCCTCGTCGAACGTATTTTGTCGGACGCGTGGTCGAATTCCGCCAGTTCGGTCGAGATGGTGGTCAAGCGGTTCGGTTGCAATGTAGCCATGCGGATCTGAGCTTACCATTTCTTGCCATTTTGGCGGGGATCGCAGGAGCGTTTGTGTTGTGATCAACTGTGCTCGATATATCCAGCGGCAGCGTTTCATCCCAATATATTATTTTGAAAAAAGTCAGCAGGGGCCAAGTTGCTGATGTGAAGCAACATAGGTCTCGTAAGGAGGAGGAGGAGGAGGAGGAGGAGGAGGAGGAGGAGGAGGGGGAGGAGGTGGAGGAGGTGCGGGAGCGCGGGGCCCTGAGATCCGGGCGTCGCATCTCTTTCCACGCTGGGCGTCTTCGGAAAGCTTCGCACCCCGAGGCCATCACCGATCGACCCGTCTCGAAAACTGCTGCAGTCTATGGCTCTAGCCGTAACTTTTTCGCAACGTCGGATCTCAGAGGGGGGATGGGAAGGGGAGGGAGTTGGGGGAGGCAGAAATCGAGGGAGGGAGCGAGGAATAGAGGGCTGGAGGGGAGGGATGGAGGGGATAGGCGAGGAGGGTGGAGGAGAAACGAGGGATGGGCGATGAAATGGGGCAGAAAGAAGGTACGGGGGGAAGGGGAGGGGGGAAGAGGGAGGATGGAGGGGAGACGATGGATGAGGGATGACGGAGGAAGAAGAAGAAGGATAATAATGAGAATAATAATAATAATAATAAGAATAACAATAATAATAATAATAATACTAATAATAATAATAATAATATGGGAAGGGGATCTAGAAAAGTGGGGGAATAAGGGTGGCTATATAACGAGATGCATGATCATCTGAAAGAAATCGGCGCGGCCAATTCAACTGCACATGGCTCAGGTTGCGCGCCACCCAGTTGCCGTTTTAAAATGCACACGCAAAGTCAGCACATGCCATCCGAATCAGACTCGAGAACTTCGCGGCCGCCGCGAAGCTCTCGAGTCTGATTCGGGTTCGCGGCGCGACGACACAGGACAGGACCAGCCGCGAAGCGAAGTGACGTGGCCGAAGCACACCAGCACGAGCATTCGATTCAGATCTTGTCAGGGCTGCACATGTTGTGCAATGTGACTTCATAGATTCTGCTAACATAATTAGCTCAGCCGTGTGGGCGTGGAGTGGAAGAAGCCAGACATTTACGAGTTCAGAGGAGGAGGAGGAGGAGGAGGAGAGCAGGAGCAGGAGGAGGAGGAGGAGGATGAGGAGGAGGAGGAGAGAGCGAGAATGTGGAACCCCTCACTCGCTTCGTGGCCCCAGTGAGCTCCACCGAAGGTTTCGGGTCAAGTCCACAGGGGGCTCCACCGAAGGCCTCGGGTTCAGTTCGGCACACCACTCACACGTTTCGTGGCCCCAGCATACAGGTTTCCCCGGAGGATTCGGGTCAATTTCGGCACACCCCTCACACGCTTCGCGGCCCCAGTGGGCTCCACCGACGGCTTCGGCACACCTCTGAGGAGGAGGAGGAGGAGGAGGAGGACGGATGACCTCTAGGGATCTCCTGCTCGCGAGCCTCGCACTCGTGATCCTCACCCTCCTCATCTTCACCCGCTGCACCACCGTCGCCCACTCAGTCTCACCATCGTCGTCGAGCACAGGCGCACGCCACTGCTTCTATATACAGAAACTCCCGATCAACCGTAGAGCGGCCGGTTAGTAATGTGTGACTAGATAGCATGGTGTGGCTGGTCTGTACACAACCGCCCCCGATGTAACTACACTGACGATGTGGAGAAACACGCATCCTACAGGTACTGCAGCAGGATTGGGACATGGAACACGCTGTGACGCTCAGTGGCAACGTGGCCCGCCAGGTTCAAATCCGCGACCTGGCGGTAGCCAGAAGCACGGTAGAACTAAGCGCCATGCCCATTCCTCCCTCCTCCCTCCTCCTTCTTACCTCCTACCTCCTCCCTCCTCCTTCCTCTCTTCCTCCCTCCTCTTTCCTTCCTCCTCCCTCATCCCTCCTCCCTCCACACTCTTCCTCCTCCCTCCTGACTCCTCCCTCCTCGCTCCTCCTCTTCCTGCTCCTTTTCCTCCTCCTCCTCCTCCTCCTCCTCCTCCTCCCTTCTCCTCTTCTTTCTCCACTCGCCCTCCATCATCTCACCTCCTCTCTCCTCCTCCCCCTCCGTCTTCTCTTCCTCCTCCTCCTCCTCCTCCTCCTCCTCCTCGGTCTCCCTTTTCCTTTTCCTCCTCCTATCCTCTCCTCCTCCTCCTCCTCCTCCTCCTCTTCCTCCTCCTCCTCCGCCTGCTCCTCCTCCTCCTCCTCCTCCTCCTCCTCCTCCTCCTCCTCCTCCTCCTCCTTCTCCCCCCCCGTCCTCCTCCTCTTCCTCCTCCGCCTCCTCCTCCTCCTCCTCCTCCTCCTCTCCTCTCCGCCTCCTCCTCCTCCTCCTCTCTCCCCCCGTCCGCCGTCCTCCTCCTCCCTCCTCCTCCTCCTCCTCCTCCTCCATCCTCCTCCTCCTCCTCCTCCTCCTCCTCCTCCTCCTCCTCCTCCTCCTCCTCCTCCTCTCCTCCTCCTCCTCCTCCTCCTCTCCTCCTCCTATCTCTCCTCCTCCTCCTCCTCCTCATCTTCCTCTCCTCCCCCTCCTCCTCCCTCCTCCTCCTCCCTCCTCCTCCTCCTCCTCCTCCTCCTCCTCCTCCTCCCTCCTCTCCTCCTCCCCTCCTCCCCCTCCCCCCCCCCTCCTCCTCCTCCTCTCCTCCTCCTCCTCCTCCTCCTCCTCCTCCTCCTCCTCCTCCTCCTCCTCCTCCTCCTCCTCCTCCTCCTCCTCCCTCCTCCTCCTCCTCCTCCTTCCGCCTCCGCTCTCCTCCCTCCGCCTCCGCCTCCGCATCCGCCCCTCCTCCTCCTCCTCCTCCGTCCTCCTCCTCCTCTCCTCCTCCTCCTCCTCCTCCTCCTCCTCCTCCTCCTCCTCCTCTCCTCCCTCCTCTCCCTCCTCCTCCTCCTCCTCCTCCTCCTCCTCTCCTCCTCCTCCCTCCTCCTCCTCCTCCTCCTCCTCCTCCTCCTCCTCCTCCTCTCACACACGCCGACCCTGTCGGCGTGTGTGAGGGGCCTTGTCTGTTCGAGTCGTCGTCTCCGTCAATCGCCGTCTCCAGCGTTCCCTTTCCCTGCACCCTCCTCCTCCTCAAGCTTGTCAGCGAGAGATATCTAGCAGTATCGTAACCGAGTCGAAGGGAAGCCCCTGTCCTTTGATCCCTCCCCCGTCGGGGGTGAAATCCCGGGGGGGGGGTAAGGTGGGGGTCAGATACCCATCCCCCCCTAGGGGCCCGAGGGCATCAGAAAGTATCAAGACAGGCCAAGAGTGCCCCAAGAGGCCCCCGAGACGGTCCAAGAGGGTCCCGCCTTCACGCCCTCCAGATTGCCCAGGAGGCCTCCAGGACGCCCCAAGACGCCTCCAAGAGCACTCCCGAGAGGGCCCCAAGAGGCCAAATTAATTGATTTCCGGCTGGTGCTGTTGTGTTTTTGAATATGGGCGCTCTCGCCTTTTCCACTTCTCGCCGCTCCAAGACTGCGCAAGAGGCCCCCGAGATCGCCCCAAGACGGCCCAAGAGGTCTCCAAGAGGGCCCCGAAAAAGCCCAAGAGGCCCCGAAGACATCCCAAACGCCTCCAAGACGGCCCAAGAGGCCGCCAAGACGGATCCAAGAGCGTGCCCAGACGGGGGACCCGAACGGACAGGTCGAGCCCTCGGCCCCAAGAGGCTCCCAGGAGGCCCCAAGAGGTTCCCAAGAGATCCCAAGAGGTCCAGAAGAGGTCCCCAGGAAGCCCGAAGAGGCCCCCAAGATGCTCCCTAGAGGCCCCAAGAGGCTCCCAAGAGGCCCCAAAATTCCTCCCCAGAGGCCCCCGAGAGACTTCCGAAGAGATCCCAACAAGCATCCCTGAGGACTCTGGCCCACGTCAGCGTCGTCGTCGTTGCCGCCGCCGCCGCCGCCGTCGTTGCCGCCGCCGCCGCCGCCGTTGTCGCCGTCGTCGTCGTCGTCGTCGTCGTCGCCGCCGCCGCCGCCGCCGCCGCCGCCGTCGTCGTCGTCGTCGTCGTCGTCGTCGTCGTCGTCGTCGTCGTCGTCGTCGTCGTCTCCCTTCAGGGTCGGCGGCACCTGCCGTAAAGCCTTCGCAATCTTCAGAAACACGTTGTGGGCTTTCCGGGAGCTCTCGTGGTGCCTTCTTGGAATTCCAGCGTGAAGATCTACAGTGTAGATCCTTGTGGTGCCCCCAGAGGCAAAATTGGGGCCCTCTTGAAGACGTCTTGGGGCACTCTTGGAGCCGTCTTGGGGCCCTCTTGGGCCCTTCCCTCCAACTGGAAACTGAGGGGACCGAACGACTCACCTCCCTCTGAGGCGCGCGTTCCCTCTCTCCCTCCTCCCTCCTCCCTCTGGGGCCTCCAGGGGCTTTCGAGCCCCTCCAAGACGGGTGGGTGGCGGGGCCGACGGGTCGCCGGCAGGTCGCGAGACGGTGGGTCGCAAGCGCTGCGCTCCCCGGCCCGATGGGCAGATGTAGACGTTTATCCGCTGCCCCGGCGTGTCTTGGTGCGCTTTGGTCCTCGCCCCCGGGCCTGGCACGGAGTGCCGACGCATGCCCAGGCGTCCCCATGCAGATGCCGAGGCACCCCGAGGCATGTGCCGAGGCATCTGCTACGCCCAGCCACCTTCAGCTCACCGTCCGTCGGGGGTCCGTTCCTCCCGCTTCTGGGAGCGCCCGCCCAGTGATCGGCAGGGTGTTCTGCGTGCGCGCGCGCCTGCTTGGCGTGCGGCGCGCCGTGGGTGGCGCCGCGATTCTTCCCGAGAAGGCTCGAGAGGGGCCCTCAAAAGGGCCCCCGGAGCGCCCCTCGGCGGGGCTCCACGGGGGGTCGCCCCGCCAGCACACGGAAGCTCCCAGAGGGGGCCCGAGAGGGAGCCCCCAGAGGGGACCCAGGGGGCCCACGAGATGGCCACAGGGGGGCACCAAGAGGGCCCCAGATGGAGGTCTCCGAGATGGGGTCGGAGCAGAGGGGGTCTGAGGATCGCGCCGCATCGCCGATGCGTCGCCGATGCAACGGGCTACCTCAGCGATGCATCGGCGCCGTCGGCGAGGAGAAAACCAGGCTCCACATCAAGCCGCATTGCCGATGCATCGGCGATGCGGAGCGATCCTGCGACCCCATCTGCTCCGACCCAATCTGAGAGGCCCAGACCAGAGGCCCCACAAAATGTGGCACACACGAGCACAGATTCTGGATTGCTTACTCTCGCCTGGCTGGCTACGGCTTGCGGTGCGGGGGTCCCGCTACTCACGCGCCGCGTGCGATCTCGAGGTGACGGGGGGCAAGGTATGTACATCCCCGCCGTGAAGCAAGAGTGTCCGAAATCCTCTCCGTGTCTGGGGTAAGGCCCTCCTCGCTGGGAGCAGCCCGGAGGGCCGCTCCCACGGGGGGGGGCCGGATTCGTTCCCCGAGCTTCGGCCACGCTCGCAGGACAGCCTCCGTGCTGAAACAGGGCTGGGTTTGCTTCCGGGCTGGGCCCACTTTGGGCCTGCTGACGGACCCAACCTGGGTTCAGCCCATGCGGCTCTGCGGATGGACCGGTACACCCAAAATCAAGCTCCGGGGGCGTTCCCAGACCTCCTCGCCTCGTCGTTGCCGTCCGAACTCACTGCCCAGCACATATGTGCGTTGCCAACATGGAGTCGTCAAAGAGTGCGGCACCCCAGGAGTTACGCCCAAGTCTGGTCGCTGGGACGCCCGCGCTCACAGGAGTCGGGCAGCGTCGACCCGCAGGGCGTTGCTCAATGCTGCCCGTTCTCTTCGTCCTCCGCGCTTCCTTCCTCCAGTCTCTTGTTGCGTGGGGCTTTGGTTGTGGTCGCTTGGGCCACAGGGGCTTACACGCAGCACATGCCCGTTCAGGCTGATACGTTTGTGTGGAAATTCGTATCATGGAGCGGGTGGATTCGATCCTTTCTTTCATCGGCCTCCTTATCCTCTCCCTCCTTCTCGGCATTGAGAGTATCTGTTTCCACACGCTCAGTAAAAAAGAAAACGGCTCTCGAGTGCAAACGCCTTGATGTGTCCTGCACATATTGCCTCATCAAAGCGTGCTGTAGCCCAGCTTATGTCACCATTATGTGCGATACCGAATGCTGTCGCTCGAACTTGCCACGTGCACATCAATCTCCTCCTCCTCCTCCTCCTCCTCCTCCTCCTCTTCACCTCCTCCTCCACCTCCCCTCCTCCTCCTCCTCCTCCTCCTCCTCCTCCTCCTCCTCCTCCTCCTTCTCCCTCCTTCCTCCTCCTCCTCCTCCTCCTCCTCCTCCTCCTCCACCTCCTCCTCCTCCTCCTCTCGGGACCCACTGGCGGTGCTGTTGGCCAGGGCGAGACACGTCCCGCGACAACTGACGTCAGAACATCGGCGCCACGCCCAGACCTCTCGGGCACCGTGTCGTGCCAAAAACGTGACGTCGGACGTCTGGGACTCGGGCCAACACCAGCACAGGGGGGCTGCCTCCACACAGGGGGAACATGATCCTGGACTTCGGTGTTGGTGGTCATATGTCGGTCACCTTGGAAGCCAGAATGTTACCGCCATCGTCGAGATCGGGATCCTCTTCCTGCGTTGGAGGCACACCGCCGACATCGGTGTTGGTGTCAACCTCTAGGCCCGCGACCCTCGCTCCTATCAGCGTCTGCCTGGGGCATGTGTTTACCGCACCCGAGCTCTGAGAATTCGCCGGCCCAACGGGCCAGAGGCGTGCTAAGATCTCCGGTAACTGGTTACCAATTCTCTAGTTCGCGCGCGCCGGGCGGCCCCTGGGGGTCCACGGACGAAAAGTACCCCGGCAAGGTCCTGAGAGAGTCCCGGGAGGAGTCCCCCAGAGCGCTCCAGGAGCGCTCCATGAGCGCACCAACAGGGCTCCGAGACGTCCCCGAGAGCCCCAAGAAAGGCCAAGAGGCCCCCAAGAGGCCCCCAAGATGGTACACGAGGGGTCCGACATGCCACAAGATCGCTCCAAGACGCCCAAGATAGCCCCCAGACGCCCCAAGAGGCCTCCAAGAGCACTCCCAAGAGGGCCCCCGGAGGCAAAAATCATTGTTTTTCCTTAGGTTTTTGAGAGATTTTGGAGCTTCCACCTTTTCGGTTCCCGACGCCCCAAGACGGCCCCAGAGGCCCCCAAGATCGCCCCAAGAGGGCCCAAGAGGCCCCCAAGAGGGCCCCAAGATGGCCCAAGAGGGCTCGAAGACGGCCCAAGAAGCCTCCAAGACGGTCCAAGAGGGCCCCAAGAACACCCCCAAAGGGGCCCCAGAGAGGGAACACGAAACAAAATTTCGAGCCCTCGGCCCTAAGAAGCCCCTACGAGGCCCCAAGAGGCCCCTAAGAGGCCCCAAGAGGCCCCCACGAGGCCCTCAGGAGGCCCCCAAGAGTCCCCCAAGCGGCCCCAGGAGGCCCCCCAAATGCCCCCCCGAGCGCCCCAGGAGTCCCCCAAGCGGCCCCAGGAACCCCCAAAGCGCCGCATTGACACCAGGCCCTCGGGCAAACGGCAGACATGAGACCGTATGGGCCGGCGGAATGAGCGAAGCGGTTAAATAAGCTCAGGACCCCAATCAAACTCAGATGGGGCGGTAATAACCAGTGCAGACGGACTTAAGCCGTCTCCCCAGACGAGGGCGCGAAGGAAGGACATGACATCTAGACTCGTCTGCTGCTGGTGCAGCGCTGAAGCTGAAGAAAATCCCCTCGATCGGGCATCGAGCCCAGATCGAACACTGACCGCTGCCGAGCGTGCCGCGCCATGCGCTGCGAAATCGAGCCAGGAACCGCGCGCATCCGCCATCGCGATCCCGCGGCGTACAAGGCGTCGGACCAGCCCTGAGGACGTTCCAGTCGCGCGCTGCCCTGTGTGGAAAACGATGTGTTCGCGCCCTTACGATACGCACCTTGAAAGGCACTAATTGTCGCACCGCGTCTCAGACTTGATGGGCCGATTTTCCACCAACACTACCATAGGTAGGAGAGGGAGGAGGAGGAGGAGGAGGAGGAGGAGGAGGACCTCCCCATCCTCCCTTCTCCCCCGTCCTGCTTCTGGTAGTGGTGGTTGGAAATTGGGCCATCAAGTCTTCTCAGTCTCCATAGGCGTGGTTGGGTGGATCGCGAGGGTATGTGGGCGTGGGCGATCCTTCGCGGGGCGTTGGGAGTGCTGGGTCGGGTGAGGGGGTGGGTTCGACGATTAGGGGGGGTACTTAGAAGGAGGCTGCTTCTCAGAAGGCGCGGGCCTTACATCTACAGACAGGGCCCGCGCCTTCTAAGAAGCAGGGGTGCTTCTAAGAAGCCTTCCCCCCTCCCCCTACCCCCCTCTGCGCGTGGCTGAGGGTTGGCATGGGGAGCCGATGTGTTTCGCCAGCGGCTGACTTTGCCGTGGTCGGCTGCGCCGCGCTTGGTCTCGCCCACACGGCTCTGCGCGGTCGGTCTCGCCTGGTCGCTCTCCCTTCACCCGCGGTCGGCTTCGCCCTGTCGACTGCGCCGGCCCGCTTTAGTGCCCCGCCCGCCCGACCCGCCCGTCAGGGTCCGCCAGCAAAGCCGCCCGCCAGCGAAACTGGCCCTAGCGAAACCGACCTCGGCGAAACCGACCGTCGGCGAAACCAACCGCTGGCGAAACCGATCGCTGCCGAAACCTAACCTTGCGAAGCCGACCATTACTGGTACGACCCCAGCGAAACCGATCCGGGCGAAACTGCAATGGGCGAAACCGACGCCAAACGAAACCGACCACGGCGAAACCAACACCCGGCGAAAGCGACCCTGGCGAAACCGACCGCGGCGAAACCGCTCCCGCGCGAAACCCGCTCGTGCCCAGGGGGGTCCACAGATTGACCGAGAAGGTCCAAGAGTTGCTCCAAGACAGCTCGAACGCGGCCCGCGACTGGGCCAAGGTGGCGTCGCAGGCGCCCACCAGACACTACTTCCCTCCCCCATTAAGGCCTTTCCGAGGCCTCCCCAAAGGCCCTATAATTGCCCTGGACAAAACAATAGATATTACAAGCCGCTCGAGAGTGTTGCATTGTTGGAAGTTGGGCTTCAGCTTGCCCGAATTAAAGGCAGTTGTAAAGGACAACCATCCATTATTCAAGCAACCTGGTTCTCACATTCGCTTGGTTCCAGGTATCCAACTATACCTACTTCCATCGAACGGTCAGTACAAAAACGCACGATGTTAGGCGAACGATGCTTCCCAATGTTGGCTTTGCCAGCCGTGCACGCCAGAAGCGGCGTCGCAGCGGGCCAGGAGACGCCCCGAAGGAAAAACGATCCGAAGGCGGTCCGAGGGAAGAAGACTGCCCGAAAGCAAGACGTCCCCAAATGGTCTCAGGCCGGCTCCAGAGAGCCCCAAGACCTCACAAGACGCCCCCAAAAACACCCCCACGGCAGAGCCACGATACGGTTTTGCCAAGCAGCTTCTCAAGGGCGGCTGCGGATATGCGCGGCAGCGCAGCTGGCTAAATACATACATGCGACAGGCACGATAATCCATTGCACAGCTCCGCAAAAATTATAACATTCGACGCTGCAGATCTGCCATAGTATGGAAATCTACTTCTAGGCGCAGTGCAACGAGAGAGAAAGGAAGAAAATCGCGAGAGCAGCATCAAAAGCGATTCAGGGCGTCCCCGCATGGGTTGAGTGCAGCCTGGGGGCTAGTTGGCTAGCCCGTTGTGAGTGCAGAATCGCCTCCCCGCCTGCTCCATGCTACCCTTCCCCACCCGATCCACACGCTGTCGACCCCACCGAAGAGATCCATCCGTCGAGCGCACGACTCGACGAAGATGCCTCGGCTGTGCGCCTCCTCCCGGGCTGTGGCTCCCGCTCTCTGGCCGCATCGCCAGGGCCGTGCCTTGTAATCACTGAGCGAGCGCGCGCCTCACACTGGGGGACAAGAATACACCGATACCGCTACTCTGCAGGACCCATCCGCTGACCAAGATCCCGAGGCGAATCCAGCGGTGGCGACGAGGGAGGCACAGCGGCATCGGCACATCTTCCTCCCCAGACCCTCGACGTCATGATCTGTTTCGCAACGTCGGCCCCCAGAGGTCTCGACCCACTCCCCGCGACCGATTCTTCAGATCCAGAGTCCCCAAAATAAGCCCAGCCAGGGCCCCCAGAGGCCGAGAAGAGCGAAACACCTCCGTCATTTTTGCTCATGGCCCGAGGGCGTCTGGACCTCTTCCTCCTCCGACTCACACGGCCGCGTGCCCGGCGCCCCGGGTGAGGGCGCGCCAGCGCTTCGCCCTCAGCAGCATGGCGTCGAGCGGCGAGCTAGGCTCGGCAGCCGGATGTGCAGCGGCGGCCTCGTGGGCCTCGGGGTCCGGGCCCCCCCCGCGGCTCGTCTCCTGCGGCTGGCGGGCCACCGCCGCCCGCCGCCCTGGCAACGGCGGCTCGCAGCCTGCACCGCGAGGCTGCACGCCCTGCTGTGGCGCCACCAACTGCCAAGCCTGGTGGGGGGGGCAACAAAAATGGTACCAATCGACCGCTACTCCAGGAACCCCATCTGGGGTGCGCTCTGACCAGCATTTCGAGGGCGATCCGGCCGTTGCGGCGAGGGCTCTCAAGGACGAGCAGCGGCATCGGTACAGTCGGACCTAGGCCAGAAGAGCATCCTCCAAGAACATGGGACCCTCCGCCGGCCAAAACACACAGCACATCCGAGGGCACCATTTCCCCAGGACGCATAAGAGCATCCACAACAAGCACAAAAGAGCATTAGGCACTGGAGCTACCCTCCCCGAACCGACATCGGTCTTGCACCTCGGTCCGACTGTACAGTCGGGGCGTTGCCCTAAGGAACCCTACACAAGGACCGAGGCCCCTTTTTCCCAAAATTCAACCTTCGATCTCCTATGGAAAACCTTAGGGGAACCTAATGCAAATTGCACAACAATCAAGGAACACCGAGCCCCTCCCAAACGAAAAGTGTTCCTTCTTCAGGGCCCCGACTGTATCCTTTCCTCCTCCGGGGGCCGGCAGCGGAGCTGGCATGACCAGGGCAGCGGCGGCCGGCTGCGCCGCACCCGTGGCTGCAGGCGCGCAGGCCGGCCGGTCGGCCGGCGAGCGGGGCTCACTGCACGGGGGGCTCGGGCTCGACTTGGCCGTGCCGCCCAGGGACGCGAGGCTGTCGCAGTCGGCCGACGTCTGGGCGCTGGTCACCGAGGCGCGCAGGCTCCGCGATGGCGCCCCGGCCTGCTTGTCCAGCGCCGCCGGGCACGCGCCTCTGGACGTTGACAGGTGCCGCCCAGGGATCGCGGCCATGTCGAGGGGAGCAGGGCGGAGGCCACGGTGCATGGTGCTCAGAGTGCGGAGGGAGCCTCCACGAGATCGATCGAAGCTGGAGCAACTCGTGCATCACCCTCAAACTGCGACGGACGAAGCATGGGAAAAGGAACAACAGGAGGAGGGAGCAGGAGAAGCACGACCGCTCTGCACAGCGTGGCGGGGCCTGGTACGCACACGCCCTGGCCCAAATCGGGCGAGGAGGAGGCAGGAGAGCCCAGAATCGAATCGAGAAGTCGGATCGGCGATCGAAATAAATCGGATCGTCGAAAATCGGCAACCAAGTCGGGAAGAGTCGAATCGGCAGAAACCGGCAGGCCAGCATGCCTCCAATAAGAAATCGGAAACCGAATCGAAATCCCAAGTCAAATCGGATCGGAATCGGAAGCAACCGAATTCCAATCGAATCGAATCGGAGGAATCGAAACGAGCCCTGAGAGGACGGGAACGATGACGACGATGCCGACGATGGCGACCGTTGACGACGACGAGGGCGGACGGGGACCGACGATGACACGCCAGGGCGACGACCACCACGGCGAGCACGCGGCACGAGGGCTCCCCGCAGATGCCCCGCGGCGCTCTTTCCCACCTCCTCCTCCTCCTCAACCTCCTTCTCCTCCTAATCCTCCTCCTCCGCCTCCTCCGCCTCCGCCTCCTCCTCATTTGCCTCTTTTCCTCCTCCTCCTCCTCCTCCTCCTCCTCCTCCTCTCCTCCTCCTCCTCTCCCCTCCTCCTCCTCCTCTCCTCCTCCTCCCTCCTCCTCCTCCTCCTCCTCCTCCTCCTCCCTCCTCCTCCTCCTCCTCCTCCTCCTCTGCCTTCCTCCTCCTCCTCCTCCTCCTCCTCCTCCTCCTCCTCCTCCTCCTCCTCCTCCTCCTCCTCCTCCTCCTCCTCCTCCTATCAAGCAAGCGACCCTCCAGAGGCACGAACGGAACGCCCATGTGGAAAATCAAGAAATGTAACTCGCACCTAGATGCCGTGAGCCTCCGCATGTCTTCCCAGCCCTGGCATGCCTCCCTACGTAGGTAATGAGCGAGCTGACGCCTTGGCCCAGGAGAGGCCTGACCAAAGCCCTCAACCTCATCCAGCCTGCTCTCTCCTCCCTCCAGACCTGGGAAAGTTTCGGGGCTAGAGTCCATAAGCGCCTCGCTGCGATAACCATCGAGGTCAATTCGTTGCCACGAATTACACGCCAGCGCCCTCCCCCTGCCCTGAGGCCAATGAAGATAGCCTCGCTTCGGCAGCAGCTCGAGAGAGTGACGGAACACTGCATGCAGCAGCATCCTGGGGAAAAAGCTGGTCCTGCTTTTACTGTAAGTTAGGCCCGTCCCGTTCCTCCGTTGAAAGCTTGATGCGGAACGATCCCTGCAAGGGGTACCTTCTTGCTTCTGAATGTAATGTGCCGCTGAGGGTCCCTAGTGCTGCATACACCTCCCTACAGGTGGGAGGTATGTTTGCGCCCCCCACACGTTCACTTCGTGTAATGAATGGTCAGCTGTGGTGCTCGACGTCTGCGCGCCTGGGGAGTTGCACATCTACAGGAGGTGGCAAGCTCTACCAACTCCCGACCCCTTGTCCAGGTGGTGTGTGCACAGGCAGTGGGAAGAAGGCGTTGCGTAGATTAGCCAATCGCCAGCCCCTCAGCTTTTCGGCCGAAGCTTGGTCCTAAGGGGACTCCATCAGGCCCCTCATCCCATGCAAAGTCAGGCATGCCAAGTCAGCCTAGGAGGGCTCGGCCACAAGGGCCGCGGCGTGTCCAGTCCACGACCGCGCCCCCTTCGGAAGCCCGCTCCTCCTCCTCCTCCTCCTCCTCCTCCTCCTCCCTCTCCTCCTCCTCCCTCCTCCCCCCTCCTCCTCCTCCTCCTCCTCCTCCTCCTCCTCCTCCCCTCCTCCTCTCCCTCCTCTCCTCCTTCTCCTCCCTCGTCCTTCTCCTCGTCCTCGCCTCCTCCTCCTCCCCCTCCTCCTCCTCTCTCCGCTCCGTCCGCTTCCTCCTCCTCCTCCTCCTCCTCCTCCTCCTCCTCCTCCTCCTCCTCTGCCTCTTTCGTCTTCCTCCTCCTCCTGATCCTCCTCCTCCTCCTCCTCCTCCTCGTCCTCTTTCCTCCCTCTGCGCCTCCTTCCGCCGCCTCCTCATCCTTCTTCCCCCTCTGCCAATTTTTTTCCCCGGCCGCGCGACTCTCCGGTCTGCATTCGCCCCCCCGCCCGGGCGCGCGCAGCTGCCCGACATGCTGATCCCGCCGTCGCCAGAGGCCGCGCGGGCCGAGCGACAGGAGGGCGAGGAGGGAGGCGAGGAGGGAGGAGGACGGCAAGGAGGGAAGGTTTAGGATGAGGATGAGGATTAGGACGAGGATGAGGATGACGACGATGGTGAGTGATGCTGATGATGCTGCAGATGAGGGTGCCTGATTATGTTGTTGATGATGGCGATGGTGATGGTGATGGTGATAGTGATGATGATGACGAAACTGATGATGTTGATGGTTATGATGCTGATGGTGATGATGATGATACTGGTGATAACGATGATGATGCTGCTGCTGCTGATGATGATGATGACGACGATGACGATGATGACGACGATGGCGATGATATGGAGGATTATGACGGTGATGCAGCTGATGTTGATGCTGATGATCATGGTGATGCTGATGACGACGATGATGATGATGATGATGATGATGGTGATGATGATGGTGAGGAGGAGGCGAGGACGATCATGGTGATGATAATGATGATGAGGAGGAGAAGGAGGATACTGATGATGATGATGACGAGGAGGATGAGGATGGTGATGGTCACGAGGATGATGATGTTTAAGAGAGTGAGACGCCCTAGGGAGGGAGAGAGAATAACGACGATGACGACAGGAGATAATGGTGAGGCAGAGGGAGGGGGCGGATATGAGAGGAGCACGGAGCAGCGGGAGGAGGAGAGAAGCAGCAGGGAGTCTAAAGAGACAACAGGTACACATGTAAACATGTATGCGCACATAGGGTAGCCTCTTACACGACTGCCCATGCCTTACCATTATCAATCCGAATGAATACGCCACCGTGCAGCAAAACACTGAGTCGTCTCGGATCCCCTAGAGTACTCTGTTTAGAGTGGGGATTCCTCTTTACGGGACCCGCCGCCCCGAGTTCGGGGCGCTGCCTCACGCTCTTGAGACTTGCCATGTGCTGGCGCGTGTTCTCGCGCGGCCTTTCCGGAGGCAAGAGGAATCCCAATCGGGCCAAGAGGGCTCCAAGTGGCCCACAAGACAGTTCAAGAGCGCCACAAGCTGCCCAAGGTTGCTCCAAGACGCCCAAGGAGGCCTCTAGACTCTAGACGGTCCAAGAACTCCCCCAGAGGGCTCCAAGAGGCCCCCACGAGGGCTGCTGGAGGCTGCAAATAGAGGACAAGCTTCCCTCGTGAGTTGTGCTCGCAACACGAGGGGGTCAGGGAATGAGGGAAAGGATACAGGAACCAAAGCTACATCAGTAAGCATAAACGTTTGGTGGTCCGCACGGATGTCTTGGATCGGCGCTGACCCACCGATCGGCGCCGCTGGCGCCGCGCCTCCAGCGCGCTTCGTGCGCCAGGAAGGGGGGCCAAAGCCGATCCAAAAGATCCGCGCGGCCCTCCAACAAATAATGTTTATGTCGTTTCCTTTCTTCCGGGAAGACGAGGAGGAGGCATTGAGATGGAAACATGAAGCTGAACTCGGCGAAACATCGCCGATAGATCGGCGATAGCCCCCCGATAGCGAATATCTCTCCTTGGCGGGGTGGGCTATCGGGCCCCTATCGGCGATCAATGGCCGCTAGGGGGTCGATGCATCCCCTTCTGAGAGTCGCGTTCACGACAGTCCACCCTCTCAGGAGGAGGGGGAGAGGGAGGGGGAGGGGGAGGCGAGGAGGAGGAGGAGGAGGAGAAGGAGGAGGAGAGGAGCAGGAGGAGGAGGAGGAGGAGGAGGAGGAGGAGGAGGAGGGAGAGGACGAGGAGGAGGGCGGGCCACGGGTGTGTCTCCCTTCGGGACCCTCCCGCGGCCGCCGCGGCCGCCGCCCTACGCCGCGGAGGCCCGCCTCCTGGCCGCGGCGACCAGCCGCTCCTCTCGGGAGGGCCGCGGCTCCGCCGCCGCAGCCGCCGCGGCCGACGTCGCACTCGCCGCCGAGGTACTCGTCGTGGACAGCGTCCTCGTCACCGTCCTCGTCGCCGTCTTATCATCATCGGCCTCGTCAAGGTCCTCGTCACCGTGATCGTCGAACGCGTCCTCGCCACCGTCCTCGTCACCGTCCTCGTCGACCGCGCCCTCGTCACCGTCCTCGTCGCCGTCTTCACCATCATCGTCATCGTCATCGCCATCATAATCGTCGTCAGTACCATCCGTATCACCTGCCAGCAGCATCATTATTCTCGTCATCATCATCATCATCATCATCATCACCATCATCATCATCATCATCATCATCATCATCATCATCATCATCAACATCAACATCACCAGCATCATCCGCATCACCACCATTACCACTATCGTCATTATCATCAGCATCATAGTCATCATCATCCGCATCAGCATCAGCATCATTATCATCAGTATCATCATCATGAGCAGCATCATCATCATCATGATCAGCATCATCATCATCATCATCATCATCATCATCATCATCATCAGCATCATCAACTTCACCATCACCACCGTCGTACAGTCATCGTCGTCGTCGCAGTCGTCGTCGCTCGTCGACGTCGTCGCCGCCGTCGTCGTCACCGTCCACAACATCATCATCGACACCAACAGCAACATCATCGTCATAATCGACATCACTGTCAGCATCGTCGTCATATCGTCACCGTGGTCATCATCACCACCATCAGCATCGCGACCCTCATCAACCACAACAACAACCCTATCAACACCAGTATCATCATCGTCGTCGCATCTTCGTCGTCACCAACATCCACATCATCTTCATCAGTATCCTCATCATCGCATCCCCATCCTCATCCTCATCTTCATGCTCATCAGCATCAGCGCCAACATCATATCTTCGTCGTCTTCCAGTAGCTCGTGTGGGCTCCATGCTCCAACTTGGAGGACCAACAGCATGCCAGTCCCGACTCCCAAGGTGTGGGGAGCACACAGCCGACAGACCCGCGTGGCCGTCAAAACAAGCATCCTCGCCGCTGTCTCCGCCCACGCCCCCGTGTCCCCGTCCCCGTCGTCTTGGCTGCACGCAAGAGTTTGGCGGCGCGCAGAGGGGGGTAGGGGGAGGGGGGAGGCTTCTCAGAAGGAGGCTGCTTCTGAGAAGGCGCGGGCCTCCTATCCACAGAGAGGTGCCGCGCCTTGTAAGAAGCAGGGGTGCTTCTGGGAAGCCTTCCCCACTCCCCCTATCCCCCTCCTGCTCGCCGCCGATCTCGGCTGCACGCAAGAGTGACCCTGGGCAAGGCAAGACTTCGCTGCGCGGCCTCATGGGGCCGCGGGGAGGTCAGGCCCAGACGCGCCAGCTGGTGCTTGGGGGTGGGGGCCTCTGTGGGAGTGCACCGAAGGTCGCTTCGGCGAAGGGCCACTCTTGAGGGCACAAACAAAAAATGAAAGCGCTGTACTGCCCCGACCTGTTCCCGGGTGCGTTCTGACCAGAATCCCAAAGAGAATCCAGCCGTGGCGATGAGAGCTCTCCGGGATGAGAAGCGGCAGGGGTATCTTTAGTTCATCTGAGGCTCTGACGCGTAGCCGATCTTCCTTCGTGGCCGAGGCCAGCGTCGTCGACGATGACGCCTGCGTCCTCGCCGCCGTCGCCGCCGTCGCCGCCGTGCCACCTTCGTCGTCGCCGCCGTCGTCGCCAGCGCCGCCCTCTTGGAGAGCGGGGCGGAGGGGCATCGGCACTCGCAGTCCTCCGTCTACGTTTTCCACCTCTGGGGGAGTTAAGGGGCGAGGAAGTGGAGGACGGGGAGGTAGGGGAGGGGTTCCAGCCAGCGCATACAGGTGCCCAGCACCTCACCCTCTCTCTGCTGCCCTCCTTGGCATAGCACGTCGTTCGGTCGTTCCTTCTTTTCTCTCTCTTACCTCTTGTCTTCCGTTTCTCTTTCCCTCCCCTTGGCAACCGCTGGGTGGGAGGGGTCTGAGAGCTCCAGCTGGACACGCAGACGAGTCCGCAGCTTCGAGGCTTTCAGACGGGTGGGGGAGGGGAAGTGGAGGTATGATGCTGGATGCTAAATTGGCCTGCCTCCAAAGAGGCAGGTCCGAGGACAGGTGTTTCCTCCCCTGCCGTTCTGTTGAATCTCCTGGGGCTCCTGGGGAAGCCTCCGCCCTGACTCGTCCACAGCGTTGGAGATACGCATGGATTCCTGGTCCTCCGGAAATCTCAAGAGGTCCCCAGAAGGTTTCGAGAGGACCCCGATGCCATCGCGTGGCCCCAAACAGGCCGAATAAGCGCTCAGACAAAGATCCTCGGCCTTCGAACCCTGATCCTCAAAACGTCCATGCCATGGGCAACGGTATGTGAATCCTACTCCTGCAGTGCTGCTCAGATTCCTGAAACACCCGCTGGGGCTCAGAACGTCAAGGATGCCTGAACACATGAAAAACGCCCCCCGTCCCCCACATGAGGAACTTTAGACCAATGGGACCGCCAAACGACGCGCGAACTGAGAGCGGAAACTGCTCGACTTGCAGCCAACGACAACGCCGCGACATCCAATGCGAACGGCGCGCTGCTGTCATACACTTAGGCTCATTCGCCGTGAATGCAAAACGCCGAAATCTGAAATCCATAGGTTGGGCTGGGGTCGGTTTCCCACTGTCCAATGCCTGCAGCCATGGGACCCCCCGCGGTGGTGCCCGATACCCCAGCGTCGACCGGACCAGCAAGGGTAAGCCCGAACATCCGCCGATCTGAATGCTTCCGTCCGCGGCCCCAGGGCTCCCGAGCCCCTTGCCAGGGGTGGCTTCTCGTCCCGGACCCTTCTTGATGGCCCTGGACCCCAACCGCGGGCCCCAGCGCCCGAAATCCCGGACAGACTTCCCTGTTGAAAAAATCAGATTGTCCGATCTGGGATCATTGAGCAGGGACCCGCCGTCCCGGCATTCCTATAGTCTGACTACGAAATGTTCTTAGAACCCAAAGATGGTCTAACATTTTGTGGTTCTAAGAACATTGCGTGCATACCGCAAAACGTTCTTAGAACATTGTTTGGTGGGGCTATAGGCGAGCCGGGACGCTCCACCACTGCTTGAGATCAGGGCTCGCGGGTGATCGCAGAGGCCAGGTCCCCGCGGGGCTCCAGCAGCGGCCTGTCGGCGTCCGCCGCCCCGATCCAGCTCTCGATGCGCCGGACGAGGTCGTCCCCGCCCGCAGGGGCCAGCCGGGCCTCGCGGAGGAACACCTGCAGGAGTGCAGAGGCGCGCGCGAGAGGCGAGCGGCCCGGATCTCGACGATGCTACAACCCGACATTGAAGGGGCGGCGTGTCGACATAGAAGGGGCGGCGTGTCGACATCGAGAGGCGCGCCGAAATCGAAAGGACGTGCCAGCAACTCTTGAGGTTCATTTTGACGAGGGTAGTAGCCTCTTCGAACGGCGTGCTGTGCCTCGAGGTCGGCCCTTCGCGGGCCGCAGTCGGTCCCTGGGGCCATCCAGCACGGATCCGGGGGTCGGGAGCTCTGTGGCGCCGCAGATGGCGGGTGCCGGGGGCCGTGCCGGTGGGGGGGCGGGGGTCGGGAGCGGGGGCGGGGGCCGAGGCGGCCACTTCGAGGCGGCAGCAGCGCGGGGAGGACGGACGCAGAGACGACGGAGGGGGGATAGAGGAACAGAGCTGAAGGGCGCTGTTTCCATGCGAGGGAGGGAGGGAGGGGCAGGAAGGGAGGAAGGAGGAAGGGAGGGGAGGGAAGAGGGAAGAGGAGAGGGAGTTGAGGAGGAGGAGGAGGAGCAGGAGGGGGAGGAGGACGAGGACGAGCAGAAGGAGTAGGAGGACAAGGAGGAGGAGGAGGAGGAAGAGGAAGAGGAGAAGGAGGAGCAGGAGGAGCAGGAGGAGAAAAAGCAGGACGAGGAGGAAGAGCCACTGTACCCTGAGGGCGAGCTTTTCTGCCACCTACACACGCAGCGCAAACCGAACGGCACCTGTGACCTGCGTGGCAGATTCGCATGCGTGGTAGCCGTCTAGAGGGACAGCACCTTTAGATGTGTGAAAGGTGCGGAAAAAGAGAAAGAGAGAGAGAGGACAAAAAAACGAACAAGAAAGAAAGAGAGAAAGAGAGCGGTCGCCCCGACATCCCGCAGCCGAGAGATCTCGCAGTCAGGTGCGCCATGCTCGTCCGCACTCCCAAGGCCGAGCGAGGATTCACGGGAAAAAAGAGCCGCGAACTGCTGATGGCGACATAGTGGCGGAGTCGCGGACGCGTAAAATAATGTGAGATCGGGTCCTTACATGGAGGACAGCCAGACAAACAGTTACGCTGATGCAGCGACACATGCAGGCGCCCTCTCGTGGTCCACCCTCCCAGGATCGTCTACAAAACTGACCGGCGCCAACTGGGGCGCATAGGCGGGAGGGCGGCCTTGAGCTGTTCCCATTTCTCCGAGAGGCCGGGCGGACCATTGAAGCTCCATTTTCTGAGCCTACGGCCAAACAAGAGATACAGGTGATCAGGATGCAACAACTCGCGAAGGCGACGACTGCTATCGCGTTGAACCTTTGCCTGCTCGACCTGCATCTCGGGCCTCACGCTCCTCGATCCTCCCCGCACGCTTCACCTTGCCCCAGTCCCTGACGGGGAAGAGGCGGAGGGGCGGATCTAGACAGCGCGTGGCAGTACTGAACGATGGCCGTGTCCAGGCGCCAGAACTTGGGAGACTAGATGTCGGCTGCCCAGTCTGCAGTGGGAAGGATGGTTCCGCAAGCTGCGTCTGCGGCCGGATGGGGACTGAGGAACGCAGGCTGCCAACTAGAGACAGTGAGAGAGCACACGCGCCGGGCGGAAGCGAAAGCGAGGACAAGAAAGGAAATGAGAGCGGCAGAGAACCGAGGGCCGAGAGCTGGGGGGAGGGGGGCGGAAACAGCTTGTGGGCAAAACCCTCGCGTTTTAAGGCCTTGGTGGAGGTGGGGCAAGCTGGGACAGGTAGCGCAGGGTGCTGCTGGCATACATGCTGTACTGGATGGCTCGAGGGGGAGGCTCACGAGGGGGGGGGCTCAGTAGTGCGTTGCCAGCAAGTATACTCTGCCCGAGCCCATTGGAATTCTAACTCTGCCGCGGGATCGAGCTGGAGGCTGAGATCAGTCGTGGAGCCTTGCACACCAAACGAGCTGCGCGCAGAAACTTTCTCCTGTAGCCCGATGTCGGCATTATGTTATTCGATTGCAGCAAAGTGTGGCATGACACGAGATAACGTGCGGATCTGAGGAACAAGCAGGCCAACGTCGTCAGCGCATGCGCCTGTTTCCACTGGGGTCTCCATTGGGGCACACTTCAACAGCCTCAGAAAGCAGGCGAACCACAGGGTCAAAGATCAACGCCCAAACCGATCCCGAAAAGGGGAAACCCCTGGATACCTCCACTGCGCATATAGAACATAAAATGAATCTCCCCGCCAAAACTTCCGAAGACCCTCGGGCAGAAGTGGACGGAGTGGGAAAAGTTAAAATCTCAAAAAACACTGGTGGCCTACTGACGGGAACGCGGCAGCAGTATCAAATACAACGAAAACAAGGCCACTCCTGGTGAGCAGCCTGTCTGAGGCTGTATTGTCTGGCACGGACGTCCTTAAATATGACGTTACGAATGAAGTGACGCCCGCTGACAAATCCTTGCTGATTGGCATGTGTTGTTCAGCAAACTTAGAATGCAAAATGAAATTAACAGCGCTGGCGATTTTATGAACGTCAGAATTGCCGAAGGACAGGGGCCGCACCTTGCTGGCTTGGCGCACGCAGTCGAAACGTTATTGGGGTAGCGACCCCATAGGAAGAAAAGCAAACACATAATCATGGAGATCGAGCAGGAGGAGGAGGAGGAGGAGGAGGAGGAGGAGGAGGAGGAGGAGGAGGAGGGATGAAGGAGGAGGAGGAAGAGGAGGAGCAGGAGGAGGAGTAGGAGGAGAACGAAGAGGGACGAAGGAGCAGGGATGAAGGAGGAGGAGGAAGAGGAGGAGCAGGAGGAGCAGGTCTCCCGAGGCCCCCCCGGGACCCTGGAGGCCCCAGGGAGGACCCAGGAGACGGCCACGAGACGCTCGGAGACCTCCCCCCCCCCTCCCGCACACCGTGGTGCTCCATGTCGAGCGTGGGTCCGTCGGCCTCCTGCTGTCCTCCCGACTCCTCCTCCTCTGAAGCGGCCGCCTCCGCAGAGGCGGGCGCGGGGGAGGGGGGGGGGGGGGAGCGTGGTCTCCGTCTCCGATGCCCGACACTCTGGAGGTCGGAAAAGGGGTGTGACATACATCGCCGTGACGAAAGTTTCTTTCACTTTGCCTTTTGGAAAGACGCGCTCGTGCGGAGTAGTTCGGACAAGTTTTACTAAAACTACTCCTCGCGCACTCGCATCCCGCTCGATAACTTGTATGGTTTGGCGCGGAGTAGTTTCCGATCCCGTGTTGGGGTAACAGAGTTATTAACGTCTCCGGGATCGGAAACTACTCCGCCGAATGACCCCAGCATCATGTCATGTTAGGAATCTTGAGAGGGATGGGAGAGATCTTCATCATAGCAAATTGAAGAAACGTTTGTCACGGCTGTGTAGAGGGGTGTGGTGCCAATATTGGAAAAGGCGATGACATCTGCGATAGACGACACATCACATTGCCAGATTTCCCTTTTACATAAAATTAGCACCACCACCCGTTGCACCATATCCCCATTCCGACCTCCAGAGACACCACGGGCCCGCGCGCTTTCAGGCCGAGTCTGGCAAGCCGACCCTGGGGAGGCACCAGCAAAAAGCACCAGCGCCGCGGATGCTCTGCGGGGGGGAAGAGTCCGATCGCAGCGACGAGAGCTCTCCAGGACGATCAGCGCCTATCGGTACGGTCAGAACGCGTATGAAGGACGGGTAGCGCGGACGCAAGGTCCGAAGTTGGGATTTTTGGGGCGGCGGGCGACCAATTAAAACGGCAATGGACGGGCCGCAGAGGCGAGGACACAAAAGGTACGCTAGATGAAGGCGAGGGTCCTCCTCCTCCTCCTCCTTCTCCTCCTCCTCCTCCTCCTCCTCCTCCTCCTCCTCCTCCTCCTTCTCCTCCTCCTCCTCCTCCTCCTCCTCCTCCTCCTCCTCCTCCTCCTCCCTCCTTCTCCCCCCTCCTCCTCCTCCTCCTCCTCCTCCTCCTCCTCCTCCTCCTCCTCCTCTGAGGCCTCCCGCCCTCTGAAACATGAGCCTCGAACCGGTGCGATGCATCGCCGATGGACTGGAAACAGGCCCTCGACACTGAGACCGCACGGTCCTTGGAGGGGTAGGCTGTCGGGCCCATGCCGGCGATCGCTGGGTGACTGGGGGGTGATGCGTCCCCCCTGAGCCTATCGCCCCCCCACGTTGCCCCCCAGTTGTCGAGTCAGGAACTGGCTCTCTGGCGGCCGTTCGGGACGATCGGGCCCCCCCCCCCCCCAGAACGCTCTCTGCGAGGTGCAGGCGCTGGAGAGCATCCCGAGGCTGGACACTGTCGAGAACAGACGAACACGTCCGAAATTTCGATTCTCGAACTCAGCATGAGCGACGAAAAGAAGTGGGCCCTACGCAAGATGACATAGCAACCTTGCGCGGTGGCTTACACGGACTGCCAGCGCAGCACGCTACGTTGACGACGAGGGCACTTACGCGCCATCTTATGCAAGCAATTGACGCGCGAATGTCGGTGCAATCGAACCCGTTTTTCTGCGTCGCTCCTGAGCCTACCCCTACTGACACTGGCCTTGACCATCCGGTCACAAAAGTCGACCCCTGGACATGTTTCAGGGTGCGCCCCAGTGAGACATCTCGAGGCAGCTCCAGCCGTGGCGACGAGGAGCCTCCCCGGCGTGCGAACAGGGCGAGCAGCGCTCAGAAACCTCGAACCTCGAACGCTGTCCCCCTAAATTGAAGCGCCTGAGCAAGAGCCATTCCCAGCCCCCCCCCAACAAAAAAAAACTGCATTAACATACAGTCGAGGCGTTGACCTAAGGAACCCTAAATAAGGAACGAGGCCCCTTTTTTCCACAAGTGAAACTTCGATTCCCCGTCGAAAACATAAGGAAAACCTGAGGCAAACTGTGAAACAATTAAGGAACACGGAGCCCCTCCCCAACGAAAAGGGTTCCTTCTTCAAGACCCCATATTGTAACCTATCGGAGGCCCGCGAGGATTACATGGATCTGCGCTGGGCCCCCCCCCTGGCGCGCGGAGGGTGCCGGAGGCGGCCCCTTCAGGCGCCGCCATGGGGGCCCCGGCGCCGACCCAAGAGGTCCGCGCGGGCCCCCATGAGAGGTTATGCTCATGCCGCTGACCCTTCTTCGGCTCGCGCTGCCCTCCAAAGCCGAGCTTGCGGGCCGGACCCCTGGGCCACGACCCCGCGAATGCGAGGCGCTTTTTCGCGGATGCCCCGTGCGGAACGCGTCCGTGCGACCAGCGGTCGCACGGACACGCTCCAAGGCGCGGGCCCGCGGATACGCAGTAAGACGACCGCGCATCCGCGGGATCGCGCCACGGAATCCAGACTGCGTAGGCGCGGATACGGATACAGTGGAGGCCAGTCCGCAAGAAACCTTCCGCAAGAAACCCAACCCTGAGACCCCAGGACGTCCACTGCTTTTTGGTGTGGGAACGTCACACTCTCCGTCGCAAAACCATCGAAACCCAAGAAACCAAGGGCACCCTGGAGGCAACCAGGGTGTTTCTTTAGGGGGACAAAACATGACATAAACATAAAAACTCTGAGGTCCGCGCGGATTTCTCGGATCGGCGCTGGACCCCCCTCCCTGGCGCGCGGAGCGCGCCAGGGGGGCGCCGGAGGCGCCGCCGGCGGCGCCAGGGGCGGCGCCGGAGGCGCTGGAGGTCCGCGCGGATCCGAGAAATCCGCGCGGACCTCCGAGCTTTTATGTTTATGTCATTGTTCGCTCCCCTGTTCTTGACAAGGGGAACTACGGTACCAGCGCGTCCGCCGCTCGTGACCTGCCGCGTCATGTCGAGCTCCGCCCGCTGCAGGAAGTCCGCCACGACCGCCGCGAGCACCGCCGGCGGCCTCTGCTGCCGCCTCCGCGGAGAGTCCGCCTCGGGCCCCGCGGGCGCCAGCAGCGCCTGGGGAGCTCGTCGCCGCCTGTCGTCGCCACGGCCGCCGTCGCGCGTGGTCGTCGCCGCCGCTCTGGTCTCAAGTCGGGCGTGTCCCCCTACAGGGGGATTTTCGACGAAAAATAAAAATACTCAAAAAAAATACTTCAGAATGGCTAAAAGATTCTCAAAAATAATCCCCTGACTACTATTTGGCTATGTTTGGATATTCCCCCTGTAGAGGGGCAGGCCCGACTCAACTCTGGTCCCCGAGTGTCCGCCGAGGATCGCGGTCAACATTTTCGTCGGTTCCTGGCCCTCTCCCATCATCGGGGTGCTCTGCAGCCGCCTGATGGGCCCGTTTCCCACCATCACCACCATAGGGAGGAGGACGAGGAGGAGGAGGAGGAGGAGGAGGAGGAGGAGGAGGCAGAGGAGGAGGAGGAGGAGGAGGAGGAGGACCGCCTCATCCTCCCGCCTCCCCTGTCCTGCATGTGGTAGTGGTGGTGGAAGATGTGTCCATCACCGGCGAGCGCGCTTCGGGGGCAGATCCTCCCGAGCGGCCGCCGGAAGCCCGAGCGGTTGTCCCACCCGGGCGCTGCTCCTCGATCTCGGCCCGATCAGGAGCCGCTTGCGAGCCCGGGGGCCGGCGGGACTGGGCGCGCGGGACTGCCAGACCACCCCAACCCAACCCGAAGACCCGAATTTCGGGTTGGGGGGGGTACAGGTTCCACGTGTGTTTTTCCATGTTCCCCGACCCCCCCCCGGAAATGGAGGCAAATTGGGGCCTTCGGGTTGGGTTGGGGTGGTTTAGTGGATGGCGGAGGACGGAGCATTGCCCCCAGGTGAGCGGCCAGGATGTCGGGGGCCGCACACGGAACAGTGTCGCGTCGGCGGACGACTCGGGGCCGCGGTCGCCGTCGTTGTCGCCGCGGGCCGTCGTGGTCTCTGCGGGCCGTCGTGGTCGTCGTCTCCGCCGTGCTCGTGGTGGTGGTGGTGGTGGTGGTGGTGGTGGTGGTGGTGGTGGTGGTGGTCGTGGTGGTCCTCCTCATCCTCCTCGAGATCGCCCCCCTGTGGGATATATAACAAAGGAACCCCCCATTGGCATTGCATTGGCATTGGATTGGAATCGCCTTGGCAGTGGTTTGGCAGTGCGATGGCAGTTCTTCGGCATTGCGTTGGCATTGCGCTGGCGAGTCCTATGGCTCCCTCCACAGAAGGACTCCTACTGAACCCCCCACAGAAAGGATTCCCATCGAAACCCTCCACAGGAGGATCCCTATCCAAACCCTCCACACATGCATTCCTCTTGAAATCCTCCGAAGAAGAATTCGTAATGACACCGTCCACAAAGGATTCTCATTGAAATCCACCGAGCGAAAGGACTCCCCCATTTGCATTGGATTGGGCACTGCTGTGGGATTGCGTTGGCATTGCGCTGGCGAGTCCTTGCGCCTCCCTTCGCACAACGATTCCTACTGAAACCCACGCGATATAGGAGTACTTTTTTAACAGCTACCAGAAGGGCTCCTCCCCATTGGCATTGCATTGGCATTGGATTGGGATCACCTTGGCATTGCGATGGCACTGCTTCGGCATTGCGTTGGCATTGCGCTGGCGAGTCCTATGGCTCCCTCCGCAAAAGGATTCCTGCTGAACCCCCCACAAGAGGGACTCCTAGCAAATCCCTTCACAGGATCCCTATCGAAACCCTCCACAGAGGCATTATTACTGAAATCCACCGAAGAAGGATTCGTAATGACACCATCCACAACTGATTCGTACTGAAATCCACCGAGCGAAAAAATTCGCCCATTCACTCTGCATTGGTATTGGCTTTGGTTGGAAATGAATTGGTATCGAATCAACATGCATTGGCCTGGTGCAGGAGATAGACAGAGCGAGACAAGGAGAGATATAGATATATACATATAGATAGAGAGAACACGAGATAATGATATAATGGGAAAACATATTATGAGGGGATCACGGCGAACAGAACAATGGCAAACAAAATCAAAGTTTAAAGATGAAGAAACGGTTCACTAAATGAAGACCATACCAAAACAACGTGCGACTCCACAATCCCCCGGCCTCTCCTCCTCCTGTTCCTCCTCCTCCTCGTCCTCCTTTGCCGCCGCCGCTGCCGCCGCCTCCTCCTCCTCCTCGGGTGGGAGGCGCGGGAGCGTGGCGGCGCCGCCGAGCTAAAGGCACCCCGCCCGCCGCGCCTGGAACACGCTGGAGCGCATGCGCGCCCGGATCTGGTCCTGGGGAGCAGCCGGGGGTGGCGTGAGGGGGGGGGCGTGATCGAGGATCAGTGAGGAGGAGGACGAGGAGGAGGAGGAGGAAAAGGACGAGCAGGAGGAGCAGGAGAAAGAGGATTATGGTGATGGTGATGGTGATGGTGATGATGATGATGAGGAGGAGGAGGAGAAGGAGAAGGGGGACTCAGAACTCAGAACTCAGAACGTGGCGAGGCCCGCGCGTGGGTGCCAAGTCCCAAAAGAGAAAGCGAAACGACGACACGACGAAGGTGAGACAGGCTGCGTCCAGCCTGCAGGGCCAGGCGCTGGAGCAGCAGCAGAGCCCCGGCAGGGGCCCAGGCGATAGCAAGAACATTAAAACAATGCCTGGGGTGCCGGCCAAGGGCCGCCACACCGACGTGTCGGCGCAGAGAATACTCCACCCCCACAACAATCCAACACACCTTCCACCTCCTCGAGCGCTCGCCCGGGCACTAACTGTCGCTGCGCGAGCCTCGCATACAATCTGCGGCCACTCTTGGCAGGGCCAGCGCATGGCAGCGGAACTTTGCAGACGCCTTGTGTTCTGCGATGTTATGCTCCTCCTCCGAAGCGTCAACAAGAACACGCTGGGGCGGACAAATCGCACCCCCCTTGTGGCACTAAAGCCGCCTCTGCGGGTGTACCACAAAGGAAATCGTCAGGGCGGAAATTCGCGCAATTATTCCGCGTGTTCCGCGTGTCCAATATCAATCGAGGTGGTGCGCTCAGTACCCGCTTTCGTCACCGAGCCATATAACACATAAGTATTGGCATGCCGAGGTAACGGGGATCTATATCTATATATATATATATATATATATAGGAGCCCCGTACTCGCTGAGATCGTCAAGCAATTGTGGACACGGGATCGTTACTCGCCCGAGGTCTTGATCTGTACGGGGGTCCAGGCCACCCAGCAAACGCGCAAGCCTAACGCCTTGAAGCTTTTCGAAACTTGTCCATCCCTCCCCCTCCAGTGGGGCCTCCTGCTCCTGGGCTGGTTGTTCCGGCCCCTCCCTGGGTGATTGGTCACCAAGTCGCATGGGACACGAAAGCTTCGAGGTTTAGGTGCATAGCTTGCTGGGCTTCCAGCAGCGGTACATTCGTTCTTTCGAAGGCGGAGGGCTATGGCCACGTGCTCCGAGCATGTGGGCAGTATGTATTCTGCCGTGCTCGTGGGCGCGATAGTGCGACCAACATTCACGCATTGCAGAAAGTATGCCGAAAGTGTGCGCGGAATGATATGACCAGGCGTAGACACTACATAAGCAATGAACTTAGCAATAATAGTGACAACTACTGTGCTACTTTTGAGGCGCGTCAAGGCATCGTCATCTACCACGTGGAGTGCAGCATTCGCCCGAGTACACCACACAGGCTGTTCGTCAGCTTGCTCTGATAAGTGAGCTTTCAATGTATGTATGTGGATGTGTTCGTAGCCTTTGTCGCTCGCCTTATCGCGAATAGCTTTCCAAAGACCAGCACGCACGCACATGCCATTACACGACGCACTCGGAGGGAAGAACCATGTATCCACCACCCACTGGCAATCAGAGTAATAATGATAGCTTTGATCATCTCCGGGCGCGCTATGCCGAAGATGCACCACAAGAGCAAACGTTTCAGCGCCAGGAACACATTGTTCATGACTTGGATAAGCTCCATAAGCAACAGTAGTGGGACGCCCCGTTGGATTTACCGCAGCAGATGATATCGCGTACCTGATCGTTCAGGGCGAGGGTCCGTGCATTCCTGAACCGTCTCCAAAAGCTGGGGACGTCAAAACTTGGCTCTGGACACCCACCTTCGCCCACTCCAACTCTATTTCAACGGAGGGGGGGAAAGAGACGCTCTGGGTCGGGGACAAGGGCAGTATACCACACAAAAGCGTGCGGGTGGTTATCTGATACCCATTTGATGTGCTCCGGGAGACCAACATCGAGTCGACATTGGTACGTAGCAGGACAATCCCATATCAAATGATGAATAGCTTCTCGAAGGTCATGAGACACGTTTTGACAAAGCGAACAACACAGCCGTAGATGTAAACTGCCAGTCAAAAGAACCTTCGACACCTGAGACTGCGCAGACGTCCACCCAGATACGCCCTCTTTCAGGATAGCCCGAATGGGGTTCAGGAGCGGAGCCCCTGACAGGTGCTGCATCAAAGGATGCTGAGGTGCTGATTGGCACCATGCCCCTACCTCGGCTTCCCTGGCCATGATGGTCTCGACGTCTCTGGGAGCCGTCGTAGAGATATCAATCACGCACCCTGCTGGAGCTTCCCACAGCGTCGGAGACTCAAGAGACCATCCGAGCCGAATCAATGTGGCGACAGCAGCGGAAGCAGGGTCATAAAGATCGTGTCACTGGGTAATGGACAACATTCAGACACACCCAACTCATGGTTTCATCAAGCATGGCTTCCCATCGGCATGCGCACCACCTGATAATGACGTCTGTGTGTCCAGGGACAGCAGGGTGCACAAGTTTGTCGAGCGCCATGACCATGGTTCTGGAACGATGTTGTCTGGACGCCATGGCAATATGGTAGTACTTGCGCACTTCGTCTATGTGTGCTGTAGACATGCCAGTAGCATGAGTACCATACATGGCGATGGGACGCACTGACGCCCTCGTCATTAGTTGCACTCGACATCCATCCTTCCGCAACTGAGCAAGCCGCAGGGCACGACTCCTCCTCTTTTTTTTCCCAATCGGTGTTTCAACACAGAGCGTGCTAGACCCCTGCTGGGGCGATGGGTATAGTCAACACCGAGGTTGCGAGCAATCTCTCGGGGTGCCTCGCTCAAGGCAACGACCTGCTCAACAATGGATCTGGTGATATCTGGGTTGGGAACAAGCAGTGCCAGCTTGTGATATGAAGCGGAAGACAAGACACATGCAGATTCTGCATAAATGTCGAAGCCACTTCCGGCATCTATTCCAAAACAAAGCGGGTGGTGCTAATCAGACTGCACTGGATGTCATCAGCGACTACACCATTAAAAAACGAACCTGTACAACTCCTGCTCAAAGTCGATGACAGGTATTACCATGCATATAATAAGCTGATCTGTGAAACCGCAGCCAGCGACGTTAGTCTGCGTTGCGAAGACTATGATCCCAAGGATACCCATGGAAGAGACTCCTCGTGGCTCCCGGTAGGGAGCGAGAAGGTAACGTAGTAGGACGTGGTTGAACCCTACAGCCAGCGCCCGAATAGCGAGGATACGACGAACCGCATGCTCAAAAGCTTCGCAAATATCCAAAAGCAAACTGCAATAATCCCATCCTCGAGCATATGCCAGTTCTGCTAGTACAGAGTGTTGCCAAACACATCGTAGGCTCGATTTTCCAGACGTGCCAAAAACGTAGCTACGTGCAGCGTTCGACTCCCAAAGCTTGCCCCAAGAGCGACGATACCTCCGCGCGAACATTCTCACACTCGTGGTGCAAACTGCCACTGGACGATCCCCAGAGTTAGCGGGTATCAAAGCCATGATGATAAGGGGATCTGGGGGGTCTTGCTAAGCAAAAGCATAGTTTTCCAAAGGACCGTGAGTGCCCGCAGCGCCTGGTCTGACAAGTATTGGACATGTCGAGGGTGGATCCAATCTGCACCAACAGCCGCTCTCGACTTGTAGATGCGTTACAGCTTCCGGAGCTGACCAGGGTCAGGAAAGGGGAGCGACTACACATGTTCGATCGTGACCGGAGGGAGATCTGGAGCGTCGTAAGGTTTACCAACACCCAAAAGCGTATGCCAAAATCATTCACGACAGTGATGTGGTGCATCGGTGACCCGAGAGGCGCATCAGGACGTTCAGGCGCAGACATCGACTTCAAAACGCGTCCAGTGGTCTGGGTCCCTAATAAATATGTAAGCAGCAGTGGAGCCCTTGGCCGACTCCTGTATGGCCCAATCGCACCAAGATTGGTAACGGAGCTTTGAATTGAGACGCTCTTGTTCGAGGGCCATCTGGTCGAGCTGCTCAGCCAGCATTTCGATTTGTTCAACCGTGGCAACGGGGAGCATGAAAGCTTGCTCCTTGCACCAAAGCCACTCGGCAGGCAGAGATTCCTCTCCAGGATTGGGGTAGTACCGGCGTGTTCGACACGCAGAGAAAAAAACGCATTTCTGTCTAACCCTCGCATTCGGAGGTCAACCAACAGCCTCAACCTAGTCTCAAGGTGGCTCCAAAGACGCCCAAGAAATGAAGTGGAAGGGAAGCCTCGACATTTCGACTATGCTGGGACCAGAAACGTGGAGTATGGCTGCCCCCATCTTATGGATAAGGCAGGATCCTTCTGGAACTTGACCAACAATTCAGTCGCCGACGATTTTAACCATTGCATGGTAGTTGTTTCAAGGCCGTTCGCATCAGTCAGCTGCTCTGCAAGTTCTTCCCAAGGATCTTCCTGAGGCTCAGATTCACATCCGGCAGGCGGTGCTACAGCTAGTGACGGTGGCTTCCTAATTACGCGGGCCATGCGTTGCTGAAATTCTGTTCATACTTTGAGAACCACAGGATAATGCTTAGGAATGGCATCGTTGCCGACGACTGTACATGTACAGTCGTCGACGAAAATACGATGAACCACAAAAAATGATCAATACAAGACGATGTCTGTACACTGACGTATGTCGTCGAGGATGGTGCAATCACAGCTGCATGTACTAAATGTGGCCATCCAGTGTCCAAGAGGTCCTGAGGGGACATCTGCCAGTCCCAGCCGATGATAAATGGGGTGCCGAGGGCTTTCAAGACACCAGCGATCCTGAACAAGACCAGAGTGTTGTTATCCTTGGCCTCTGAAGACGTACCGTCGTGCAAATAAATTGTCAAACTGGGGACGCCTAGCGGTGACAACCCGTACCATGTACATCCCAAGAATCTTTCTGAGACAGGCCAATGCACTTGATCGACTCCTAGCTTGAGGGGTCGAAGGCCATATGACCAGGGAGAAATAATAGCAGCCCCAGCAGAAACGCCCCCAGAGAAGCATGCATATATGTATGGAGGAGGAGGAGGAGGAGGAGGAGGAGGAGGAGGAGTGGAGAGGAGCGGGATGAGAAGGATGATGGCGGTGATGATGATGATGATGATGAGGAGGAGGAGGAGGAGCAGCAGCAGCAGGAGGACCAAATGAAACCCCAAATGCATCAACATTGTTGCAATGAACCCTCCCTCCAATTTCCCTCTTCGCAGGTCCCTAGAAGAATGAGATTGTCATTGCAAGAACTTGACCATTAGAAGACAACCGTCTGAGAATCCCCAACCGTGCCAAAACGGAGTCCTGGGGCTTCTACGCCGAGGATCAAGGTGACTGGCGCGTCCTGACAAACCTAAATCGCGCCAGAAACCATCCATAGGACTTCAACACAGCGAATCAACGTGACTACTGCGTCCTGACAATCATCGATCGTACGAGAACGCCATCTCTTGGAGTTTCGGCCATACGAGTCCTTCGAACTGCTGTGCACTTGTAAGGCGCATGTGCGCGTCGCTACAGCGAGAGCTACAGTTTGGAAAGGAGCCGCTTTCCATGCTGGAATTCGCCGCGTTCGTTTGAGACGAATGCACCCGGCGCTGAGGCGACATCAATATGTTGAACACGATCCGCCCTCCAGCAGTGCAACAATTGCAATATGTTCAGACGATTGTGTGCGGCGCTGAGGCGAGAGCCACATGTGAAAGCCACCCGCCCTTCATCCACGAAGCTGTTGTAAATTTCACGCTCCAGGGCCACACGTCGCCGAAGAACCCTCAAGACACAGGCCTGGCCCGCACCACCGAGACGTCTCAGGGTGCGGGAGCGATGAAGTATTCAAAGGGACAAGGGAGAGAAGGCGGGAGGTGGGAGGCGGGATGCGCGAGGAAAGAGAGGACGGGGAGGAAAGGGTGGACAGACGAGTGCGGAGCGAGGAGGAGGAGGAAGACGATTATGAATTTGATGATGGTGAGGCCAAGGAAAAGGAAGAGATAGAGGAGGGATGAGAGGATATGAAAACAACAAGGAGAGACGAGCAAGGAGGGAAGGGAGGTGGATAAGTATGGGTACGAGTATGCGCCTGTGGCGCAACAAAGACCGAACTGACCACATTATTGAAGGACCCTCGTTGCCGCCTTGTTTGTTGGTCGGCCTTGCTCAGGACTTTGGGATTCAACCTTTTCTTCATGCGATCAATATACTCACGCCCCGTACGTGGGGGGCGTGCAGGACTTGCCTAGGGACCGCAACTGCTTATCTGCGGTCCCTCCGCAATGCCCACAAAACCAAACATTGAAGCGGGTATGAGAATTGAGGCGGCGTGATGGGTGCAGCCAGCCCCCCGCTACATGGATTCTGGCACAATCGCCCGAGGGAGAGACGATGGTGTCATCAACGTTGCTAACATCAGGACAGGCAGTCTTCCACCACAAAGCGGCTGCAGCGCGAGTAGCCGAGCCGAAGCATTTCAGACATTTGTGTTTGCACCCCGAGAGCCTCTGAGCAGACATGAAAGGGCAGAGAGCAGCAGCAGCAACAGCAGCAGCAGCAGCTGCAGCAGCAGCGGGGCGGAGCGGGGGAGGGGGGGAGGGACCCCTCCCCCTCCCTTTTTCCTATCCCTCGATTCCAAAGCGGCAGCCTTCTCAGCCGGAAAAAGAATCGAGCGTCCCAGGAGCCTCATCATGACACGCATGGCCTATTCTCTACAAGGTTCACTTGGTGTCGGGAATTCTACGCACGTTCGCAGCCCAATCAGCCTGCTGATCGCAGGAGTGACGCGGCCCTCCAGGTCGTGCCAGCGCTCGCGGGTGCTGGCCAGCGCGCGGGCGCGGCCGTATCTGGGGGTCCGCGAACTTGAGCTTGCCGAACTCGCGGGCGCGCATGGGGCGGTCGCGCTCCTTCTCCTCCTGGCAGCCAGGGCACTCCCAGTGGGTCGGGCCGCTGCGAAGATATCCGCACGTTGCTGGATCCCTGGATGCAGGGCAAGTCTGCCCGGAAGTTTCGCTCGCGCGCCTTGTAGGTGTAGCGCGAGCGGTCGGCCGCCACTGCGCGTCTGATCTCGCCCTCCGTGGCCCTGGTGGCCACGCTGGGACGGCTGCCGATCGGACGTCGCGCTCGCAAACGCAGTCCAGCACCTCTGGCCTCGTCGGCTCGTCGCACACCCGCGATGGCCCGGCTGCTCGATGGCGAAGTAGCCGCCGAGCTCGAGCCGCAGCTGCGCAACGTAACCGCAGCATCGACCGCGGGAGGCCGTGCATTCGTGGGAACGCAGCCAGGCGCAGTAGTTCCACTTGCAGTTCAAGGTTGCTCAACGGCCGCAGGGCCAGCAGTTCGTAGCCATGCATGATTGCAACTTGTGGCGGATCCTGTTGTCGAACATAACGTTCCACGGCTTGCTGCTGGCCCTCGTCGCCGCGGCCACAGCGCGCGAACAAGTCGAAGTTCTCGCGAGCTCTAAGGCGGCGGACAGCCAGTCTGCTTGTCCGGGCATCTGCACCGCGGACCTCTATAATGTCGGTGCCGTAGTCGAAGGAAGCGAGGTAGGTGAGGAACTGGTGGGTAGTGTCGGACTCGGTGCACCTTGATGTTTGAACACTGGCCGTTTGGCGGTCGGCTTCGGATTCGGGCGCCGACGAGCCTCGGAGCCACCATGTACGAAGATCTGCGGCAAAATTGCGACGGAGGTCGTCCTCGTCGCACTCGTCGGCGTCGTCAGAGTCGCTGGAGGCTGGAAGGCCGAGACGGAGACGAGGTCGCCGCAGTGGTCCCCGACGACCTGCTTGCGCGTTTTGGCACCGGGCCCTCCTTCACCTTCGCCTTATGGCGCATGCGCTCTGCCGCTCGCTGGGTAAGCGCTGGTCGCCAGACGCCTCCTGTGGTTGTTCGTGCTTGTGGTCTTGCGTGTTTGAGGTGTCTGAGTGCGCGCGGCCCTGGGCGCGACCCCCCGGCCTGTCATTTGCCGACGCAGCACTGGACAAGGCCACTTCCCGCCAGCCTGGCGATGTCACCGCGGTCCTCACTGCGCAAACAATGCGGCGCCCATCCTGTGGCCCCTTATATGATATCTCTCACAGCAGGTAGCGCCACTTTAGCCGGGTTGGGCGCGACCCAAGTTGCAGGAACGCGGCCAGCTGGATGTCGACGCGCCAACGGCGCGCAGCAAGAGGAAGCTGAGATTTCGTAGCCGATCATGGAACGGCCAGCCTGCTGCGCCAGGGCGCGGAGGGCGTCGGGCCCTGCGAGGAGGTCGTCGACGAGTTATTGCGGCAGTCTGTTGAAGCTCAAATAGCGCTGGCACTTCCGAGGCGCGCCCCTACTCGCCCAGCGGGCCCGCCTCTCGGCCAAATTGTGCATCGGTAAGATAATCGTGTCACTGGGCTGCCGTTCATGAGTCCCCCATGGACCAGGACAGCAGGCGACAGGTCGCCCGCGCGCTCGCGCGCCATGCTGGCGAAGCGCGACGAGACAAAGGCCGCCTGGCGAAACTCGTTCAAATCTGATCAGATCACAGATCATCACCTGGCGAGCCCATCCCCGGAAGGGAAATCGAGCACGCTGCTCGGACCCCCAGGCGCGGAGGCGTCGCGCGGCGCTGCTGCCGCCACCTGCGTCCACGCATGAGATGCAACGGGAAATGGCAATGATGTCCACTCCGGTGGCATCCCATCCAGAGCTAAGCTCCACGCGTCAAATAGGAGCTGGGGGCCGGGGATCATCCGGCGGAGCTGCTCGGGCAGGGTGCCTCGGGGCAGCCGGGGAGACTTGCCCCGGATGCGCTCCTCCTCGTCAGCGCATTGGGCGCGCGCCTCCGTCGCGCGGTTGTAGTGTTCGCTATGCTGGGGGCATCCTGTGACGCAGTCGTGGAAATGCATCTCGTGCGTCGCGTTGTCACCGTTCTGGGCGCCGCCAAGTGCGCGGTCGGCACACGGATTGCGCATCAGGTCCAAATTCTGCCAGGCTGATGGGAATGTGTAGGTACGGCGCGAAGTCATGCACCAAGGGGTCGACGTGTTCTCCCAAATCCCCTTCGCTGTCCCCGCAATGCCACTGACGCAGTCGCCATACCCATCGTTGCAGTCTCGTTCTTCTCTACCCGCTCCTCCCAGGGCTCCTGTGGCGCAGTCGCCCGAAGCTCGAGACCCTTCACCGACGCCGTAGATATGAACGTCCTGTCGAGCAAATATCTGACATTTGGGGCTGCGCCCACAGCATAGCGCATTGAAGGCATAAGGTACGCGAGCTACGCTGATAGAGTCAGCGCACGCCTGGGAGGGATCGCTGCGTACTCTTAGGTGTGCAAAGTCAGAGCCATAATTTAATCATTTTTGTGTGTGTCTGTGTGTCTTTGTGCTTTTTTGTGTTATTTTTTATGTTCCGTCCAGTTTTTTTGTGTTTTTTGTGTGTGGGTTTGTGTTTTTTTGTGTTTTTTTGGTGCGGGAGGAATCTGCCGCGGTCGATCGCCCAGGAGGGTTCGACTGCCGCCCCGGCGCGGATCGCCCCCGCCAAGGTTCCCTTAAAAGGGGGAGCTTAGGCGTGGGCTTTTCCCGCAGGCGCCCCCGCTCGCCTGGGAGGGCGCGGGGGGTCCTGGATCGCCTGGGGGGGGGGGGGGGTCCAGGACGGGCCGACTCGCCCTGGCGGGGGTCGGTCCGGGCGGTGGAATCGCCCGGGGGGGGTCTCCGCCACTCAGTGCCTGCACGAGTCGCCAGGGGTGGTCTCGCGCGGGAACAGCCCTCGCGCATCGCCCAAGGGGGTCCCACGGGGGCGAGGTAGCCCGGGGGGGCGCCTGGGAGGACAGTGCACGGCGCGAAGGGTTCCCGCAAATCTTTCGCGGGACTCTCGCGAATTCGTCGCGGGGGGCCCGGGCTCTCGCGAATTTTTAGCGGGAGGCGCAACGGTCTGGACAGTCGCGCAGGGGGGGGGGCGAAGAAGAGAGGAGGGGAAGTCCGATGCCAAAGCCTCGAGGGCCACCTCCGGAGCCAAGCGAATGACGGACAATTGGAGCAGGGAGCGGCTAAGGATAGAGAAGGGGGGCGAAGGATAGGAGCCGGAGGGGAGCGCGAGCGGCGCACCGAGGAGCAGAAGCGGAGAGAGAGGCAGTTCTCCCGTTGATCACGCCAAGAGAAGGGCGAGGTTGATGACGAAATTCAGGCTCTGACTTTGCACACGTAAGTACTCTGACGCGCCACGGAATTCGCGGAGCTGATGTGCGCCTTGCCCGTCACTAGCCCCGACGGACCCTAGAGCGACGACGTCTCGTGACACGGCGACAGGGAAGAGGTGCACGAAGGCAGGCGAAGGAATAACGGGATGAAGAGCAGCATGAACAGCGGCGGAAGGGTGAAGCCATGGCCATCGAGGCGACACACGACATGGCGGCCGTGGTATTGGAGCCGAACTTCTGCTACCAACTAGTGACACGGATGTGGTGAAATATGTGAAAGCGAAATTCCCGTAGGGGGGAAGTGAAGGCACTGAAAGCGCGTCTAAGGTGGGCACGGAACGTTACAAGTTGTACGCGGCAGCGGGCGCAGCAATGGCCGGCGCAGGCATGGATAAAGTAGAAAAAGCAGGACATGTACCTTTCGAGTAGCAAGAGGTGGAAGATCAGGAGGCGGAGGAGGAGGAGGAGGAAAAGGAGGAGGAGGAGGAGGACAACGAGGAAGAGGAGGGGGGCAAGAGGGAGGAGGGGGAGGAGGAGGAAGAGCAGCAGCAGCAGCAGCAGGAGGTTCGGGAGCGATGGGCGAGGAGAGGGGAGGAAGGGAAGAGGAAGTCATTCGCAGGTTCGACAGGCCCGATTGCATGGCCCGAGGTCCAGCGCCCCGTTCGCCTCCAGGCGGTGGGCGACCTCCTCCTTGATGTCGACCAGGTCTGCGCCGGCGTTGGCCGACATCTCTGGCCGCCTCGGCCGCAGCGCGCAGCGCCTACTTGGGAGGCCGCGCCTAATATCATGACTCGTCGCCTCTCGCTATCATCCACCCTCCTCCCCATCCACACGTTTGTCCTGCTCATACTCGTGGTCATACGCCGCCACGCCGCCACCTCTTGCACCTCATCCTCATCCTCATCCTCATCCTCATCATCATCATCATCATCATCATCATCATCATCATCATCAGCATCATCATCATCATCATCATCATCATCATCAGCAGCAGCAGCAGCATCAGCATCAGCATCAGCATCATCATCACCATCACCATCATCATCATCACCACCACCACCACCATCACCAGCACAAGCATCATCATCATCATCATCATCATCATCATCATCATCATCATCATCATCATCATCATCAGCATCATCATCATCATCAGTATCTTCCTCCTCGTTCTCTTCCTCCTCCTCTTCCTCCTCCTCCTCCCCCATTTCCACAGTCTCATGTTCCTCCTCCTCCTCCTCCTCCTCCTTCTCCTCTCGTTCTCGTTCTCCTCCTCCTCCTCCTCCTCCTCTTCCTCCTCCTCCTGATCCCCCCTTATCCTCCATATCCGCCGGCTCCTCCTCCTCCTCCTCCTCTTCCTCCTCTTCCTCCTCCTCCACCTCCTCCTCCTCTCCCTCAACGTCCTCCTCCTGCTCCCCTCCTCCTCCTCCTTCTCCTCCTCCACCTCCTCGTCCTCCTCTTCCTCCTCTTCCTCCTCCTCCGCCCCCCTTTGCGAATGTACGCAGTTCGGCTGTCCAGAGTGCGGAGACCGCGATGCTGCCCTTCGGGGACTTCCAGGTCCGCTACGACACCCGTCGGCGGATAGAGACAATGAAGTGCCATGGGGAGGAACAAACGGGAGGGGTAGGACGTGAGATCTGTCCAGAAACACCTTGCTTGTCCGTCCTTTCTCCACCCTTCATCCCCCATCGGACCGTCTCTGCCCCTGGGGCGGTTGGGGATATTCCCAACCGCCCCAGGCAAGCGCGAGACGGCCCCGATGGGGGATGAAGGGTGGAGAAAGGACGGACAAGCCAGGTGTTCTCTGGACAGAGATCACGTCCTTCCCCTCCCGTTTGTTCCTCCCCATGGCACTTCATTGTCTCTATCCGCCGACGGGTGTCGTAGCGGACGTGGAAGTCCCCGAAGGACAGCATCGCGGTCTCCCCACTCTGGACAGCCGAACTGCGTACATTCGCAAAGGGGGGCGGAGGACGTCTCGGAATCGCATCACGGGCCTCTCGGTTCCCTCTTGAGGCTTCGCCCTCTTGCAGAGCCTTGGGGTCGTCCGAGGACCTTCCTCTCAATCCTCGGGCGGAAGCTAAGAGGGGTGGGCAATGAAAGCGGGGAGGTGAAGAGGCGCGCGGGTGGTTCTCAAGGGCCCCAGATGGCTCCATGAACTGCCGCCTGGTTCATCCCTGTTCACCCCACGGTGCACTTTCACAACGCTCCCTTCCGCCCGAGCCTGGTAATGAGGGATGAAGAAGCTGCTGTCTCTCGCTGGCGGCTGGTGCTCCCTCCTCCATCCTCCCTCTGTACTCGCTCCTTCTCCTCCCCCTTCTCCTTCTCCTCCTCCTCCTGCCCACCATTCCATTTCCCCACCCCTCATCCTCCTTCCTGATCCATCATCCAACCATCCCCCCCTCTCGGTTTCCCTCCCTCCTGACCCGCACGCGCGGAAACAAAGAGGGGAGAGGAGAGCGATAAGGGAAGGAGGACGCGGGGACGGAGAAGGCGGCAGGGAGGGAGGAGGGAGGAGGGAGAAGGGAGGTAAGAGGAGGGAAGGAGGGACAGGACAGGACAGGGCACCCACCATCGTGCGAACGTGCATGCCCGCGCGCGCGAGCCGCCTACGGCCGATAGTCGTGTGTTCGTCTGGCGAATCGTTGCATACTGATTTGTTGTAAAGCTGTTCCAGAGGTCTTTCATCACCTCGTGGAGCTCGTCGATCTTGTTGTTTATTTTTCTCGTTGCTCGCCTTTCTCCGTCTGTGGGATCATTTTGGGAGCTGGCATGTCTCGTGCCGCCCGGCACCGATGCGCTCGTCAGGCTGATGCTGGTCCTCGGTGCGATTGCTCTTCTGTTGGTGCCTATCGTGCTTTCGCTGTTCTTGAACGCAGTGCTGCTGTGCGTTGTCGTCTGCGCCTGGCCGCTGCTGGTCTCTGTCGAGCCTGAGCTGGTTCACGTCGGAGCTGTCGCGCTTCTGTTGATCCCCGTCTTGCTTCTGCCCTCCGTGCTTCAAGCGGTCCCCATCGGGCTTCTGTTGGTCGTGGACGCCGTGCTGTTGCTGAGCGCCGAGCGGCTCCCAGAACTCGGGTAGTGGCATCAATCTTGGGAGAACTGTAGTGTGCAGCCGGGTCATGCTGTCGATCACCTCGTCGAACGCCTTGACCTCGGTCAGTGGCGATCTCAGCAGCCAAAAACTCCATTGGTGTTACACGCTTTTGCACAGTGCTGATGGCAGTCTCCCGCTCCGTGTCCACGTGCCCACGGTCGCCCGCCAAGCTCTTCTGCGTGATGAAGTCGGCCATCTTCTAAAGCTTCCTGTCAACGTTGGCGAAATGCGTCATGATGCTCACCAAACACTCGTCGACGCTCGCTTCTCGACGTCTCTCTCGATCGAGTCGCGGTTTCCGGTCCCGCCACGGTCTCACCGTACTCTGCCATGGCACACGTGACGGCCGCGGGCGTGACTCGGGCTGATCCTTCCATTACCGCCTTGAACCAAAAACAGCTTGAGCTTGAGCTTGAGCTGGAATGGCTACGGCGGGCGGGCGGGCGGGCGTGCAGGAGGGAGGGGCAATAGCAACGCGATTGGGGAGGAAGATGACAACGGCTCTGAGGTGGAGTAGAGGAGATGAGACAGGGGGAGGAGCGAGGAGGAGAATCAGGGTGGCGGGTCTTGAATCTACTTTGGGGGGGAGGCAGGCCGCTATCAAATGGTATAGTCATATGATGATTGCTCCTACCACCTGCTCCAGCACCATTTCCTCCTCCTCCTTTTCCTCCTCCTTCTCCTCGCCATTCTCTCCCTCCTCCTCCTCCTCCTCCTCCTCCTCCTCCTCCTCCTCCTCCTCCTCCTACGTTCCTCCGTGTCTCCGTTCCTCCTCGTGCTCCTCCTCCTCCTCCTCCTCCTCCTCCTCCTCCTCCTCATCCTCATCATCCTCATCCTCATCCTCATCCTCATCCTCATCCTCACCATCATCATAATCATCATATTCCTCAGGATCATCATCATCATCATCATCATCATCATCATCATCATCATCATCATCATCATCATCATCATCATCATCATCATCATCATCATCATCATCATCATCATCATCATCATCAGCATCAGCATCATCATAATCATCATCATCAGCATCATCATCATAATCCTCTGCCTCCTCTTCCTCTTCCTGCTCCTCCTCCTCCTCCTGCTCTTCCACCTTCTGCCTGTCCTGCTCGAGTTCCTGCCCCAACAGCTGCGCCTGCTCATCCTCATCCTGCTTGTTTGTTATGTATATGCTAGACTTATGTTTCTGCAATTGCTTCTGCGTCTGCTTTCTGCTCCTCCTTCTCCTCCACCACCTCCTCCCCCTCCCCATCCTCCTCCTTCTCCTCCACCACCTCCTCCCCCTCCCCCTCCCCCTCCAGCTCCTCCTCCTCCTCCTCCTCCTCCTCCTCCTCCTCCTCCTCCTCCTCCTCATCATCATCATCCACATATTCCCTCCTCAAGTTCCTGCTTTTCCTTCAATTTCTGTTCCTCGTCCTCCCCCTCCCCTCCCCCTCCTCCTCCTCCTCCTCCTGCTCCTCCTCCTCCTCCTTCTCCTGTTTTGCGTTTCCACCCTCCCACCCTGTCTGCGCCTCCTCCTCCTCCCCCTCCTCCTCGATGTTCTCCCTCTCCTGTCCCTAGTAGTGATTGCTCCTGTTACTTGTCTCTGGCCCTCCCCCTGCTCCGGGTCTCCCTTCCCCCCCCCGCGCCGACGTCAACGACACCGACGCCGACGAGGACGACCACGACGACGACCACGCCGACCCCGACGCAACGACGGTGACGATGACCCCACCAGCGCTCGGCCCGCGCCGCTGCCCCCCAGGACGCCCCCGCCTGAGCACCGGCCGCCTCCCCGGCGGCGCCCGCGCGGCGCTCGCAGCCGCCGCGCTCGCAGCGGCGGGCGCCGAAGGCGCCGGGGCGCGGGGCGCGCGCCGCGGGCGGTGCACGCGCGCGCGGCCGCGGGCAGCGGCCCGCGCCCCTTTTGGGGGCCGACGGCGGCGGGTTCGACTCCTCCTCCCCGGCGTTGTCCCCCCCAGAAGGGGGGGTGGCGGCGCAGGAGGGCCAGGGATGGAGAATGGGGCCCAGGAGGAGGGGTGGAGGAGGGAGGGGGACGGGAGGAGGAGGAGGAGGAGGAGGAGGAGGAGGAGGAGGAGGAGGAGGAGGAGGAGGAGGAGGAGGAGGAGGAGGAGGAGGAGGAGGAAGACACGAAAAGAAGGAGGAGGAGGAGGAGGAGGAGGAGGAGGAGGAGGAGGAGGGAGGGAGGAGGAGGAGGAAGGAGAGGAGGAGGAGGAGGGAAGGAGAGGGGAGAAGGAGGAGGAGGACAGGAGGAGGAGGAGGAGGAGGAGGGGAGAGGAGGGAGGAGGAGGAGGAGGAGAGGAGGAGGAGGAGGGGGAGGGGGGAAGGGGGAGGAGGAGGAGGGGAGGGAGACAGGAGGAGGAGGAGGAGGAGGAGGAGGAGGAGGAGGAGGAGGAGGAGGAGGGGGAGGGAAGAGGGGGAGGAGGAGGAGGAGGAGGAGGAGGAGGAGGGAGGAGGAGGAACATGAAGAGGAGGAGGAGGTTGGGGCGGCGGGGAGGAGGAGGAGGAGGAGGAGGAGGAGGAGGAGAAAGAGGGGGAGGGAGAAGGGAAGGAGGAGGGACAGCTCCGGTGAGCCGTCATACTCGTTGTCTCAACTCGCCCTCCTCTGATAACCGCACGGTGAGGTCACCACACCGTCTGGAGCCCTTGGTTTCTCCCCACTCCGGCCTGCGCGTTCGAGTTCGTCTGCGTGCTTCCCGTTCCTTTGCCACCCCTTCCACCAAGGCCGTGCTAACGGCGATGTTGGTTAACAACGATGTTGGGAATCTGATGTTTGTGACACCGAGCTCGCGCAAAACAAATTGTAGACGCAGACGCGCGAGTCCGCCGGCCGGCGGGCCGGCAGGTCTCTTAGGGGCGGCGCGGGCGGGCCGGAGCCCGGTCACAGGCATGTGAACTTCAAGGAGTCGCTCTCGTGGTCCGCCCAGAATTTGGAAGTGGTAGCACTCTGTAGCAATGTGCCGGGTGCGCTTCCAACCGAGGCCATTTGCAAAATTCTGTGATGTCGTCACTTCACCGCTTTCGCTGCCCTCCGTGTCGGCGTCGTGCTGCCCCTGGTCATGGATATCAGGTCCCCATGCCGCGGCCAGTCGGGCCCAGCTGTGGTGTGGTTGTGTAGCAACTCGCCCAGCCCATCTCCATTTACGCTTGTGAAATATTGCAACCAATTCCTCCACATGTACACGCGTCGCAAGGTCTGAGGCAGTGCGGGTAGCCCTGCGAATGGTATTGTCCCAGGATTCAAAGTCGGATTCGTCGTCGACGTCGTCAAAGGACTAGTTGCTGCCTGACGCTGGACTTGCTGTCGTCATTTGTGCTCTCGTCATGCTGTTCAATGTCGGGGTTGGTTGTGTTTTCGTCGGTGCTGGCGTGGGGTTGTCTCTGTCGGCGTCTCGAGGTATTGACAATGATACGTAACATGCGTCGTTGGGTGTGTCGGAGTGTCAAGAGCATTTCTGTGGTGAGAGTCCACGTTGCGCAGCCATACATGACCGTTGGCGTCACCGTCCCGCTGAAGAGCCTGAGCCTGCTGCGACGGGGGTACCGGCTGTTTGCGAGCTCGTTGCGGAACTGGTTGAATGTGCGCCACCCCGTTGCACGTCTGTTGGCGATCTCGGTCTGGTGGAAGTCGTGCAACGCCAGCTTGCGACCCTGATATTTGGTGCTGTCCTCGGCGCAGAGGATTTCGACCTTGTCGTCGTTGATGTCCACGTGTGCAATGCATCACCCCTGTCGCCTGCTAACATTTGTGAGGATGTTCGTTCAATGCAAGACCACACTTCGCGGTTTCGTGTTTGAGGTTTCGCAACATATACTTGGGTAGTCGTAGTTTGGGTGCTAGGAGGAGTACGTCGTTAGCAAGCCTCAGGTTGGACAAATATGTGCTGAGTGGGTCTCCTTGCTTGACGCCGCGCTTGATGTTGAATTGTCTGCTTCTGACGTCGGTCTTTACCGTGGCTTTTTGGTCGTTGTAGAAATTCTGCAACAAGGTGATGTGGGATTGCGGCTCATTTTGTTTCCTCAGGGCTTCCCACAAACACGGGTGGTCCACGCAATCGAAACTCTTCTTGAAATCGGTAGCAGCTGTCCAGAGTGGGAGCTGCCATTCGCAGGACTGCTCGTGAAGTGAAGTTGCAGTGAAGAGGTGGTCCTCTGTGCTCAGGCCCTTGCGGAAGCCAGCTTGGTCAGGTGATTGTTGTGCGTCGAAACGTTTGTCAACTCGGTTGCAAAGAAATCGGGGCATGAATTTGTATAGTAGCGGTATGATGGCGATTGGTCTGTGGTTGCTTGGTAGTTGCGAGTCTCTGGACTTGTAGATTACGCTGATGGTGGTGTGTCTCCACTGTTCCGGCGGCGTCTGCTCAGGTGTTACAGTGTCGTTGAAGAGCACCAGCAAATGCTTGTCAATCGTGTCCCCCCTGCTTTCAGCAGCTCCGCGGTGAGCCCAGCCGTGTCCTTGTACTTGCCATTTTTGAAGTGCTTCACTGCTTGGTGCAACTCTTCGTGGGTGAAAGGTGGAATGCTCTGTCGAGGTCGCCGTGCTTCTTTTCCTTGGGCGTCACGGGTGCTGGTGGCCGCAGGTAAGGGTGTGCTTTCAGGGCGTCGGTACAACTCCTCATAGAAGTCCGCGAAGACGTCTGCTATCCCCTGCCGGTCCGTCTCGTTGGAGCCCTTTGCTGTTGTCACGGCCGGTATGAGGTCTTCTTCTTGTAGAACAAATTGTGTGAAATCACGAGCCACACCTTCCAACATTTCAAATTTGCGAATGCATCGAGCGAAAACGACGCAGCGAATTGTAGGAAAGCACGGATCACCATGTCCTACGATTGGCTTGGCCACGAACCAATCCCACCTACAATGCCGAAACCCACATCGCCGTTACCTACATTGCCGTTAGCGCGTCTACGGTTCCGTCGCCGCGCGGGAGCCAGCGGCGGAACGCCACAGCATCGAGCAGAGCATGCGCGTGCCAGCAAAGCCTTTGTAGGGCATTTGAGCTAGCGCGTCGCCAGTCAACAGCATCAACATAAACTGTTGGAGGTCTGCACGGATCTCTCGGATCGAAGCCAGGCCTCCCTCCCTGGCGCGCTGAGAGCGCCAGGGGCGGCGCCAGAGACGCCGCCGGATGGACCAAGCGCCGATCCAAGACGTCCGCGTTGACCTCCGAAACTCCATGTCTGTGCAGTCTCTTGTTCCTCGGGTTCACCGCACGGTGAGCTCACGACACCGTCTGGGGGCCCCCGAGTCCCCCCCCCCCCACCCCGCAGGAAAGCCGCCCGCTGGCGCTCTTTCGCGGGAGGCGGCTGCGCTCCGCGCGCGGAGCTCCCGGCGGAGGCCCTCCACGCGGCCCGCGCCGCACGGCGAGACGCCGCCGCGAGCGGCCGGCCCGCGGGCTCCTCAGTCGTCCGTGGGGCAGATGGCCGCGATGATCGAGGAGCAAACGAGAGCACAAGCAGCAGCTCTCGGAAACCCGCCCCGACTTCTTGCTTCGACGCTGGAGCCCCCTGGCGGCGCCTCGGTCGCCGCCTCTGTCGCGCCTCGCGCGGGTCCCGCGCCGATCCAAGACATCCGCGCGGACCTCCGAAAGCGTATGTGTAGGCTACCTTTTGCTCCTCGAGACGAAGCGCTGGTTCTGATCCTCGAGGTCCTGCGGCACAGCGCCCACTGCAATGGCAACGTCTGGGGCACCGGCCCGGGGACGGGGGGGGCGTCGACCTGCATTCGGCGATGCCTCGCCGACAGATCGGCGATAGGCCCCCGGTAGCGAGCGACCCTCGCATGCTCCTGGGCGGGCCTGCGACGATCCATGGGCGATTGGGGGTCGATGCGCCCCCCCCCCCCCAGGAGCCCGCTTCTATGCTATTCGCGATGACGCCCGTGGCCAGCCCCGCCACTCCCCCGCCTCCCTCCCCACCCCCTTCGTCGTGCGTGATGCGCGCCAGGTCGTTTCTGGGAACGGACCATTCCTCAGCATTCCTGGACGGCACCGGCGAGAATCGCAACGTGACCGGCGCCCTCCCGCCCCCTGGTCACGCGCGAATAGACAGGATCTCTACGCCATGGTAAGGGATGGGAGGGAGGGGTAGGAAGTCAGATAAGACGCTTGCGCACCTAGCTTGTCCCCACCTACTCCTTCCTTCCTGTCCTCCTGTTTCCTGTTTCCTGATGCCATGAGATTGCTCCAGACGCTGAGCGCCTCCCCCAGGGGTAGGTCGGCCGCTCCTGGGTGAGTGGAGCTACATGAAGACGATGATGGACAAGAATTCCCATCCTCCTCCCCCACCTCCTCTCACGATCCCTCCTCCTCTTCCTCCGCATCCTCCTTTTCCTCCCTCCCGCCCTCCCCCCTCCCCCCTCACCCGCCTGGTGCATCTCGCGCCGCGTTCACACCCCGTGGCTGTACCGCTGCAGCTGGGCCGCACTGCGAGTCGCCGCCGCTGCCGGCCGGGACAGGGCACGGGGCAGAGCGCCTCCAGAGGTCGGCCCAGGGCCTCTGGGGGACCCCAGGGAGACAGGGTCAATATTAGGAGGCAACTCGTTGTCATCGTCGTCGTCGTCGTCGGCGGCGGCGGCGTCGGCGTCATGGTCGTCGTCGTCCAGGGTCGGCGGCACCGGCTGTAAGACCTCACTGATATTAGGCAGCTCGGGCCCGCTTTTCCCTCGGTATTCGGTATTCGCGGCAACCCCCGTGAGCAGCCCCGCCCACCCCCCCACCCCCACCCCCCCCCACCACCCCACCCCCATCCTTGTTTCCGTACTCGTACCTCCTACCTACCTCGTGTTCCGGCCGATAGCGACCCAATCCGGGACCTCCCATCCGGACTGCAACAAAATCAATACAAAGTGGTTGTTTTTCTTCTCAACATCGTATTTATTGTCGTCGACGATGCGAAAAACGTGGCAGGAATGGGACGCGGCGCACATCGCGCGCGGCATTCAATCTGGGCCCGCCCATCCTAAGCCCATCCTAGCCATAAAAATTAGTACGAAGTCTTCGTTGTTTCCTCTCAGCATGGCCTGCCTTGTCGCTGACGGTGCGAAAGATGTGGCAGGAATGGGACGCGGCGCACATATGGGACGCGGCACACATCGCGCGCGGCATTCAATCTGGGCCCGCCCATCCTGACTGTAAAAAAACAGTGCAAAGTCTCCGCTTTTTCCTCTCAACATGGCCTGCCTTGTCGCCGACGGTGCGAAATTTGTGGCAGGAGCGGGACGCGGCGCACATCGCGCGCGGACATCCATGCGGGCTGCGGGCCCTCCCATCCTGACTGAAAAAAACAATATAGAGTTGCTGTTTCTCCTTTCATCATGGCCTGTCTTGTCGTCGACGATGCGAAATGTGTGGCAGGAATGGGGCGCGGCGCACATCGCGCGCGGACTTCTGGGGCAACCCCAAGGCGGGAGGGGCCACCTTACTTGTCAGAAACAATGCCATGCTGATTTTCCCTGCCCACCTAGCTGTTCTTGTCGTCCACCCCGCTAAAATGCATGGCAAGAATTGGGCGAGGCACACCCCCCTCCCCCCCCGCTCGATGTGAATGAAATGACCTTTTTCGCTTGGGCGACGAGCGAAATTTTCTCAAAGTTGCGCTCCCGCTTTGGCTCGGCGCACGTTTTGAGCTCGCCAATTCATTGGGCGCCGGGGCGTTCCAGGAGGCCCTGGGGTGACGAATGCCTGTGAGGTTTTTGATTGTTCAGGCTCTTGGAGGGCCTCCTGAGGCTCCCCGCGGCTTCTTGGCGCTACGGCCGTCTGGAGGCCATCTTGGGCGTCTTGGAACAATCTTTCGGCGACTCTGCGCTACCACTACTAGTACTAGTACTAGTACTAGTACTAGTACTAGTACTAGTACTAGTACTAGTACTAGTACTAGTACTACTACTACTACTACTACTACCTACTACTACCTACTACTACTACT